AATCCAAATCTTCTTCTGAGGTCTTTCTATCGGCCAAGCAGCGTATGTGCATCTTCTGGCTCCTCATGGTTTGCTGCATGATCGAGTCTAGTCAACCATAGTCAGGAAGATCATGGGTGATAGTCGATGACAGCCTTGTCTTACTCCTTCCTCTCTTCACTTCAAAGGCATTACTGAGCTTCGCATTGTGAATCACTTGAAATGTGGCGTCTTCATATAGTTGTTGAATGAGGTTGATAAAGATTTGTGTCACTCACTGTATAGTGTTGAAGCAGCAGGTCCCAAATTACTTCTCCGTCGACGCTGTCAAAGGCCTTTCCAAAGTCGATGAAGTTGAGGTAAGGTAGAGAGTTGACTGCCATTCTATACTCTCTTCTTTTATGATACGTAGCGTTGCAATTTGATCCACACATGACTTGTTCTCCCTGAATCCAGTCAGCGTGTTCCGGTCGTAATTTTGAATCCAGCACATCTTTTAGTCCCTCCAGGATGATGCAGCATAATATTTTGCTTCAGGTGGACAACAGCATAATTCCTCACCAGTTCTTGGAAAGACTTAACTCGGATCACCCTTCTTTGGGAGTTTGACAAGGTAGCCCTTCTTCCAGTCGGCGGGTACCTTTTCTTCTTTCTAAACCTTCTGCAGTAGTGGTGTGAGGATGTCCACTGTTGTTTCTGAATTCATTTTTCAACGCTTTTATAGGAATTTTTTCTGGTCCTGCTGCTTTCCCGAATTTCAGAAGTTTTATGGTACTCAGGAACATTACATATACTTAAATACCATAGATCAATCGGTTTCATCGTATTTTATTTGCTTGAATGTACTTCCTCTGTTAAATAAAAAAGTAACATGGAGTTAAACTTTATTCTAGGGAGCAAGCTGTTACGCTGATAGCTGAGGGTCGAGTACAGTAAACCTCCATAAACAGACCAATCAGAGGAGAAGAAACCAGATAACTACTACTCTTTCTAGTGTTATTCAAAGGAAAGCCATTTCAATGGAAATTATCAGAATGATACGAACTTCAAGTTGATGAACTGATGTTATTTGAAGAAGCATTGAACAGTTTCTTAATTCTAACATTAGACTCCTTAACAGTATGCCCTCACGATTCTACCAAAGATGAAATCAAGAACCATTTCACATTATCATTCAATCACAATTCACATTTTCCTATTTTTGTCAATAGCGCGTCCATCATTTACTGCTATCAGGGAGTAATTGTCTTCAAACCGTGTTTAGTTAATCCTGCAGGTCACAACTTCTCATTAGAACTTCCAGGATACATCTAACTCAAATCATGTCCCAGCTGAGCATTAAATAGTATTCATGATAGACTGAAATTAATCAGAGAACTAACTACTAGTAGGAAAGAATTAATAGAAGGGTTCGTTTTCATACAGCTAAGTTACTTGGGTATTTCCTACTCAACAAGCGGACAAATTCATCAGGTATGTGTTAAAAAATTCATAGATCTGAAGATTGGCATGGAACTTGAAGTTGAACAAAAAATCTAGTGGCACTGGATAGCTGACACAACTCATATCAGATGAAGAGGGAAATTTGAATTCGCTATGTAGATGATACTTTTGTCATCATTAAGAAAGATGATATAAGAAAACACTCACAGATTGACCAACATTGTTTTCAACCACATCGTATTCGAGATGGAGGAGTCAAACAACCAACTACTATTCCTGGATGTCTTAGTCAGTAGAACCAATGTGGGAAAGCTAGAAATCCAAGTGTACAGGAAGCCAACATACACTGACCAAATCCTCAACTACAGTAGCAACAACCCAAATAAGCATAAGATTAGTTGCATACAGACTACATTTAAAAGAGAGAGAACACACTGCAGTACAACAAATTCACGGGGAGACGAAGAAAATTACTTGATGTCCACCCTAAAGAAGAACGGCTCACCCACGAAACCTTAACAGAAGATGCCTATCCCGGTACATCATCAACTACGAAGTCATCCACAGAAATCAATAAACACGTCATCCTACCATACATAAAGAATATATCGGAGATCACGACAAGATTACTGACGCAAACCACTTGGAATTGATGTGGCCATTCAATAAACCAACAAATTCCCTCCAAACACTATTATCCAGACCAAAGGGGACGCAACAAGCAAAGAAGATAAACCGAATATCAGCTGCAATAACTGTAGTCAAGACTACATTGGATAAAGTGGTCGCCCATCTTCGCCTTCGTCATTTACATGAACACCAATTGGCTATTAAACGTCACACACATAACATTTCATCGCTCATTTCAATCCACGTGGATAACAACTATGGACATGAATTCAATTTCGACAGTGTAGACATCTTGAATGGACAGAGGAAACACAAAGAATATCAGAGAATTCCTAGAAGCTTGGCATTCAGGTCAGTCAGTAATCCATAGATGTATAGACATAGACCCAATCTATCAACCAGTGAGAAAGATGATAAACGACAGAAAGGTCAGAGGTCAAACGGAGGGACAACCAACAGAAAAGTCTATACAGTCAATGAATGACACAATAACCAAAGGAAACAACTAATCAGAAAGCAGTTCATCATAGAAAGGTACTAAATCACTCACGGAGAGATATTTACAGGTCATTACTTCATAGTGAATTTAGTACTGAAGATGTCGTCCAGAATAAAGATGATGAAAGCTCGGCAAATAAACAATCCAACTCAGAGGACACAATACAACCATGAGAGAAAAATAAGTAGAAAGTGGTAAAAGATAGGAAACAAGAATAAAAAGATGATGAGATTGAGTAAAGCGGTTAATATGAGGATAATGTATGTATACATTTGCACCATCGACATCGGTTCTCAGCCATATGATCATCTAGAGTCAGTCTACAACCACTGGTTTCTATTATTATCCCCCCTGGAATCCAACCACCTAGTCTGCATTACCCTACATGATTCGAACCAACAGTCAACGACTTTATAGACTGATATCATGTTTTAGTCTGGTCACCCCGACCCTTTTTTTTTCCAGGCTGAACCTACTTTGTCTAACATTATGCTACAAGGCAGATAGTGGTCAACACAACCATCACAATCCATGAAGATTCGTAACCATATCAACTGATTCACCTCTTCTCCCTAAATACTTTCTATGAATTATTATTATTATTAGTCCCTTGGGTTCCTAGTGGAACATAGGGCTTCAGTTGCACGCCTCCAGTACACTCTGTTCTCTGAGATCTTTTGAACCTGGTTCCACGACAGCCCACAACCTCTCATTTCCTCCTCGCACGACCTCCTCCATGTCACCCTCACCTAAGACGTCCAACTCGTCGCTTCCCCTAGGGATTCCACTCGAGGGCCTGACGCGTGATGTCCTCAGTCGGCCTTCTCGGTGCATGCCCAATCCATCTTCACTTCCTTCCAATGCATATTTGTTGCGTGATAGGTTCTTGGTTGGTTCGTTCCCAGAGCTCCTTGTTGCTTATTCTTGTTATCCCGGCCATCTGATCTTCAGTAGCGAGCCAGCGTAAGCAGTTGTTGATGAATGTCTGTAGTTTATTGGAAATCCCTTTCGTGACGCGCCAAGTCTCTCATCCACCACACAGAAGCACTGACTTGACTGAATTGGTGTTGAATATCCGTATCTTGTTCCGCATGCTGAGTGGAGTGCAGAAGATCTCCACACTGGTTTCAGGCTAATGAACGCCTGTCTTGCTTTTCCCATTCTGACTTTGACGTCCTCGTCCGTCCCGCCTGTAGTTGAAACAGTGCTTCCTAGATAAGTGAAGGAGGTTACTTCCTTCAAGTTTCTCCCGTTGACGGTGATTGGAGTTTGTTGTTGTTGTTGATGGTGGTGGTGCGGTATCTTCATCACTTCTGTCTTCTCTATATTCACCTGAAGTCCCGTCTTCGCTGCCTCTTCTATCAACTTGTTAGTTTTTGCCTGCAGATCTTCAAGAGTGGCCTTCGCACTCTCTATGAATACTAGACATTATATAAACACAAAAACTGATCTACATACAACAGATTTAGTTGTCAAGGCATTCTCACATAACTTTTCTTTCATTCTTTTTCAAAAAAAAATTCATAAAAGATACAACTATTACTCACAAAAATAAATCAAGACAAAGGAATAAGTAAGAAAAATGACATTTTATCCACAGGTGATGAATAAGTTAACCAGTAATAATAATAATAATAATAATAATAATAATAATAATAATAATAATAATAATAATAATAATAATAATAATAATAATAATAATAATGGTAGTATGCATAGGAAGGCACTTGATTAAAGTTTCATAATCTATGAAGCCAACTGTATAACAAAGTAATATGTAGTAACAATATAAATGGTGAAATGGGATGAAACATGTGGATAAAAAGTATGAATCCATCAACTTGTATTATCCAATCAGCATAGACTATTTTTCATTGTCTCACTTTACTTGAGAGATTATTTTGAGGGAATTGTTCCAGGGATTTGGAAATAATTCAAGTTGTTATTCATTGTAGACTGACATCAATTGGAGGAACAAAGGAAATGTGGGAGCATTGGACAGCTGTTTGGTTCGACTAGTATGGGACTCCTCAGCAGTGCGCACCCTTCACCCCCCCCTACTCAGGGATTGAACCCGCGGCCTTCAAGTTCCGTGACCAGCACGTTACTATTGAACCACTAAATCAGAATCCGATGGTCTATATTTTCAATTTCTGTTAGCTCATGATATAGCACAACCGGCCAAGGGGTTCGAACCGTGGTGGTGAGGGATCGTGGGTGAGCAATGCTGAAGAGTTCCATACTAGTCGGACGACAGAGCTGTTCAGTGCTCCCACATTTCCTTTGTTCCTCCAATTGATGTCAGTCTACAATGAATAACAACTTGAAGTACATATATATATATGTATATAAATTAACAAATAATCTATTTAGAAAGTAGACCACAGAGTGAAAAAACAAACAAACAATTCAAGTTGTAGAAATCAGTAAAACAATGATGACTACTAAATTACCACTCACCCCAATCATCTATTTCATTATTATTATTATTATTATCTAAAACATGAGATATAGATTGATTATTTTGTTGTTCTATAGACATATGAATCGAAGAAGTTGTAAGCGATGAAATAGGCTTAGATGATATTTTAGTTGACTGTTTTATTGAAGATTTTTTTCTCTTTGAAGTATTTACTTTATTTAACTGTTGATTGATATTCACCTCTTTTTCTTGTAGAGTAAAATTATCAAAGAATGCATCAGTATTCCAATCAGAATTAAGTTTCATTTTTGCGTTATCATCATCACCTAAATAAGATGAAGATATAACAGGAACAGGTTCCTGATGTGAATTTCTATTGGTTAACGAATGAACATTCAAATTTGATTGGTTATCATCATCATCATCATCATCACCATCTACATTCACATTATTATCATCTTCATTAATATTCTCAGTATCTAGAATGCTTGATGACGTTTTTGACACTGAATTCGATAAAGTAACTACATTACATTTGTTTGAATTAACCAACTCTAAAACATAAAAAAAGATTTTTTGATAATAAATCGATATTCAAATGTCTAGGCAGCACTGTTTCAACTATACGCCGTGGTACAGACGACGATATCAAAGCCAGCCAGGATTGGAAAGACAACAAGACAGGGGTACATTAGCCTGAAACTAGTGTGTGTATAAGGAACAAAATCCGGATTTTCAACACCAATTCAGTCAAGTCAGTGCTGTTTCTGTATGGCTCAGAGAGTTGGCGCGTTACGAAAGGGATTTTCAACAAACTACAAATATTCATCAACAACTGCCACCTACGTTGGCTTGTTACTGAAGCTAAGCAAGCCAGAAAGAATAGGTAACAAGGAACTCTGCCTGGCTGGCAACGAACCAACGAAGCAAGAACCTATCGCTCAACAAATATGCAGTGGAAGGAAGTGGAGATGGATTGGATTTAGCATGTACTGAGAAGACCATTCGGGGGCATCACGTACCAGGCCAGGCCCCCGAGTGGAACCCAGATGGAAAACGATGAGTTGGGTGTCCGAGGTGAGGATGACATGGAGGAGATCGTGCGAGGAATAAATGAGAGCTTGTGGGCTGTCGTGGAACCAGGTTCAAAAGTTTGCAGAGAACAGAGTGCACTGGAGACGTACTATTGAAGCCCTGCGTTCCATTAGGAAACCAAGGGACAAATAAATAATAAGTCAAATGTCTCTTGTTCATATGTTCAGATATTCAACAGGGTTACATAAATCACACCCTGTTATTGACATTCGATTAGATAATCCAAGTTAAATGACCAATGCAAACAAAACATTGAAGAGGAGTGAATGAGTGAGTGAAACACATACTTCAACTTACAGCTAGTATTCATCATCGACTCACATCACTTGGGGAACCATTGAAAATCTCGGAGCACTTCACAGCTACCTGTTTCGACCTAGTTTATACGACTCCTTACCAGTAAGCACCAACCACCTACCTAGGCATCCAACTCACGACCTTCAGGTTTCACGGCGAACACCTTAACCATTCAGCCTCTTCACTAACCTCAAAAATACATTACTCTACAGTGCTCATTAATGACTTGCTTCCAGATAGATATCAAGAAGCTCAAATGAGAAGCCGTGACCTGTGGCGTCAACCACTCGGAAGTGAAGTGGATGCTAACTGAAGACCTTGGGTGATAGTCGCGCTATATCATCGTGAATTGAAAGAAGTTACAAATTGTGAACTACTGAAAACCGACACAGTGACTGAATGGTTAACGCATTCACCGTTAAACCTGAAGGTCGTGACTTCGATCCCTAAGCAGGTCGTGGATGCGCACTGCTCAGGAGTTTCATACTAGGAGGAAACAGTTGTTCAGTGATCCCAGGTTTTCAATAGTTCCCCAACTGATGTCAGTCCATGATAAATAGTACTTCTAATTATTTTATGATTTTTTGGTGGAATCTATATGGTTGCCATCTGTGGCGCCGTTGGGATATACGACTATCTAATAAGGGTCCACCATTTTGCACGGCAGTTCATAATTGGTGTCATCAGTGGAGATACAGTTTATCCTGTTGAATAAGCATCCAACTAAACCGCGTTTATATTGGACTGGATAATTTATCATCACTAATTGTCCCTTGGGTTCCTAGTGGAACATATGACTTCAGTAGCACGTCGCTATTTCACTCTCTTCTCTCCAGTCTTTTCAACCTAGCTCCACAAATCCCCACAAGCTTTCATTTCTTCCTCATATCATCTCCTCTATGCTAACCTCGAAAGTTCAACTCATCGTTTTACATGTGGGTTCCATTTGAGGGACTGGCCTGACACGTCATGTCCCCGATCGGCCTTCTCAGTTTATCCACAATCCAATCCATCTCAATTTTCTGCTTCTGTATACGTGATGAGTGATAGGTTCTTAATTGGTTCGTTGCCAGCCAGCCAGCCAGGCAGACTTTCTTGTTGCTTATTCTTATTATTCTGGCCATCTCATCTAATCTTCAATGTCAGTATCGAGTGAGCGTTGAAAGCAGCTGTCGGTGATGCGTGTCTGCTATCTGTTAGAAATGATTTACGTAATAAGCCAACTCTCTCAACCATCTCATAGAAGCACTGACTTGCTTGACTGAATTAGTGTTGAAAATCCGGATGTTGTTCACGCTCTATGCTGAGCGCGGTGCAGTAGATCTCCACACTGATTTCAGATTAGTGAAAGCATGTCTTGCTTTTCCGATCCTGGTTGGCTTTGACGTCTTCATCTGTACATATGCCACCTGTAGTTGAAACGACGCTGTCCAGGTAGGTGTAGGTGAAAGAGACTACTTTATTTAGGTCTCTGTCGTTAATGATGATTGGTTCTTGTCGCTGATGCTGTTGTTGGTTGGGTATCGTCATCACCTCCGTCTTCTCTACATTCATTTAAAGTCCCATTCTCGGTGCCTTGCTTCTTCTATCAACTTGTTAGTTTTCACCTGTAGATCTTCGAGTTTGTGCGACAAGAAATTCGAAAAAATCATCATTGGCGAAATGTAAATCTTCTTCTGGGATATTCCCATCGGTCAAGTAGCGTATGTACATCTTCTCGCTCCTTACGGTTTACTGCATGATCGACCATAGTCAGGAAGATCATGGGTGATAGTCGATGGCAGTCTTGTCTCGACTGACGCCTCAATCGAAGGCCTTTTCAAAATCGATAAAGCTAAAGATCCAGTTAACTGCCAACTCTTCATAATGACAATATCATAGTTACTCTTTTTTTTTGTTTGTTTATTTGAATCCTTTGACTACTTCAACATGTTTAAACATTAAGATATATACTTTTCTATCTTGGACCGCTTTTTTTTTAACTATCAATTTCCTTATACTTGATGAGAATGAAATCGTTGAAAACATATCAGAACGTTAAATCCCATGGATACTATACAACTAATAGTAATATTTCAAGTTGTTATTCATCGAAGACTGACATCAGTTGGAGGAACAAAGGAAACCTGGGAGCACTGGACAGCTGTTTCGTCCTAGTATGGGACTCCTCAGCAGTAAACAAAATAACTCATTTCACAGATTATGAACTTACTATCTTTCATACATGATGTTTTATCATCTTTCTCTAGAACCTTCAATGTTTTATTCATTTGTGATGATGATGATGAGGAGGAGGAGGAGGAAGTGGAAATTGAAGAAACTTGTTTATCACAGCCAGTTTTTATTGTTTCTACTGTTATTGATGAAGATGGTAAGAGACGAGTAGAAAAAGATAAAGCAGATAAAGCCCATTGAGTTAATCCACTAGCTGTAATTGTCCCAGTTTTATTATGATGTGAAGAATTTGAAATATCATTACCATCTATTGTTTGATTATCAGATGATTGATGAATTGTATGATTTTCACTTGCCTTTATTAAAGGAATAAGTAATAAAATATGAACAAATAAACAAACGATTATACATAACATTTGATAGTAAATGTAATTAAATAAGAGAGTGATGACAATAAAACCGATAGGAGTCTATCAGGTTTAGTCTAAAAAACTGTGATCATCGTTGTAATAATAGTGTAGCGCGCATTCGAAATGTAAGTACATCCTGCGTACTTGCTGAGTCATTGACTCACCCTTCTTTTCTTCTTCAGATTCTCGTGGCCACCCATCAAACTCATACTGTGCTCTGCACATCCCCTGCAACCACATACCTATCTACAGGCTAGATGAAAACTAATCAACAACTGGGTGTTACATCCTAGTGTCGGAGGTGGGATCCGGTTCACTCAACAGCAGCCATCTATTCGAATGTAACTCACACCAGTCTTACACACTATACCTAGCCTACAATTCACTCATGTATAACCAGGAACTGATGACAGTGCCTACAAAGAAGGGAGAGTAATGTAGTGCATTCGAAATGTTACTCATTCACCTTGAAGTTTCGCCTCACCTCTTCGTTGTCCAGCTCTACTCTTTGTCACTTATCTTTTGTCATTAAATGTAAGTACATCCTGTGTACTTGCTGAGTCATTGGCTCACCCTTCTTTTCTTTACCAGATTCTCGTGGCCATCCAGCAAACTCATACTGTGCTCTGCACATCCCCTGCAACCACATACCTATCTACAGGCTAGATGAAAACTAATCAACAACTGATCGTTACATCTTAGTGTCGGAGGTGGGATCCGGTTCACTCAACAGCAGCCATCTATTCGAATGTAACTCACATCAGTTTTACACACCATACCTAGCCTACAATTCACTCATGTATAACCAGGCACTGATGACAGTGCCTACAAAAAGAAGGGAGAGTAATGTAGCGCATTCGAAATGTTACTCATTCACCTTAGAGTTTCGCCTCACCTCTTCGTTGTCCAGCTCTACTCTTTGTCACTTATCTTTTGTCATTAAACGTAAGTACATCCTGTGTACTTGCTGAGTCATTGGCTCACCCTTCTTTTCTTTACCAGATTCTCGTGGCCATCCACCAAACTCATACTGTGCTCTGCACATCCCCTGCAACCACATACCTATCTACAGACTACATGAAAACTAATCAACAACTGGTCGTTACAATAGTAATGGATCGACTAAGGTGGTATAGATAAGCGCTATGCATGTGAAGTCACTGCCTACCTCAACGTGAAATGCTAGATAAAGCTAGATTACATTAGAAGAGGGTGAAGAGTAACCTAACTAAGACTTGGCAACAGTGTAGACTAGGGGGGTTTCTTAGACAACAAGAATCAATGGTTTCGGACTCTTCGTAGGAGGGCGAATGTATTCACTCTTCAACGTCTTTCAAACTTTCCTTTACATATTCTCTTTCCTCTAATATGCAATCGTCTACTTCGATATTAGGTACCTTTTCTATCCACTTGGTTCGTTATATGCTACAGTGAAGTATGACAAATTGAACTGATCCACTACGTTGATTTAGCCTACCTCCTGTCTACTAATGTATCATTACATCATTCTCTTCTGTTTTTACAGACAATTTTCTCTATTCCAGTAATTATTTATCGATACTACACAACTTCTCATACCTTAGTGAGAACACTACCACTCAGTAGGGGGCAAATACATTCAGCTAATGACTCCTAAGTAGGACAAAACGTGTATCCTGAATTCCAATACTTGTCACCAAGTGAATTATAGCATAGTAATTGACTACAAAGGATTTACTAGGTATTAATAAACTTGTTTGTTTTCAAGACATAAAGGTACAGCTGTTGTTCACATTCCCTAAATAGCAATTATCTTCATCGAATCAGCGTTTTTCTTCCGATATATATATAACCTCACCTGGTTAACTAGTTCACTAGTTACTAGCCGATCCTAAGCCCGGGTAAAGAGGGAGGGTTAGGCATAGGGTTAACAACCCTACCCCGGAAAACCAATCCAACCGCAACAAAAACTTCAAAGCACAAACAAAATATGAAAAAGTAAAACAAACTTATTCCTCACTGGAATTAGAGAGACGAAATAACGCCAGTTGGTGAAAGCCTTCGGGAAACCAGTTGGCCGATGCGTCTTCTCTTCTCTCGATGAAAGAGAAAGTAAATATGGGGACATGGAATATCCATACTATGTTTGAACCTAGCAAGGTTGGCCCGATTGCAAAGGAGATGAGAACATATAGAATCGAAGTGCTAGGAATCTGCTAGCAACGTGCAGATGGAATGGAAGTCGACTCTCTAAACTGTCAACTGGAGAGTCAATAATCTACTCCGATATTGTTACTGAGAAGGCCAATTAGCGGCATCACGCACCAGGCCAGGCCCTCGAGTGGAACCCAAATGGGAAACGATGAGTTGGGTGTCCGCGGCGAGGGTGATATGGAGGAGATGGTGTGAGGAAGAAATGAGAGCTTGCGGGCTGTCGTGGAGCCAGGTTCAAAAGACTGCAGAGAACACAGTGCACTGGAGACGTGCTACTGAAGCCCTATGTTCCAATAGGAACCCAAGGGACGAATAATATATACATATATAATACATATTTTGTACAGAAGAAGAACTTACATGTTCTAATCGGTCCAATATTCCATGTATAGCACGAAATGTATCATCACGTATTGATTTCTCTGGATCAGTTGTAAGAAATGATAGACAAGGTAGAAGTTTCCCCGCCAAAAGATCATTTGTATAATATTCCTTCAAAAAAAAGACGGAGAAACAAGACTAATCTAATAATTCATTGAATAATATGGACTAAATTAAACTTGAACAAACCAAATATGTGATTGACAAAATTGTAAATAAGTTGAATGCTTAGATATTATTTAGTGAAGATAAGTAGCGTAGTCGACTGCAGACATTCTCACTCCTTATATACCAGGAATCAGCTGTGTCAGAGTAAAACAAAACAGACATCAGTGCAAACACTAAAGTGTTATCAGTTCAACGACATAGAACCAGGCATTACTGCATCACCGTCCAAGTTGTCACATCTCATATCAGAACATCAAGTAAAAAGACAATAAAATGGAAGACGAAGAAGTGAGGAAAAAATGTGTGAATACGTCGACATCGGTTGGCAGCCATGTCATCACCTAGAGTCAGTCTTCAACCACTGGTTTCTATTGTTATCCCCTCCTGGAATCCAACCACCTAGTCTGCATTACCTTACATGATTCGAACCAACAGTCAACGACTTCATACATTGATATCATGTTTTAGTCTGGTCACCCCAACCCTTTTTCCAGGGTGAACATTGTTCGGCGAGGCAGATGTTGGCAAGGCATACGTAACACATGTCCAACCAGGTTCACAACAGCATCAACTGCCTAATACTCTACACCTCATTCCTATGTTATTCACGTGGTGACACAATGAAACACAGTCTATATGCTAAGAAGAAGACAGTGGTCAAACACATGAAATTTTCTACCTTCAGTAGTGATGTTTCATAGTTACACAGTAGAACAGAGCAGAGTGTAGCACAGTTCACTCGATAATTCGATATCGCGACAACACCCCAGATAGTTAACGAAAGCTAATCGAGCATTTTGTATCTGTGCAGAGATTTCGTCGACCACTGACCAACACACTAGGTCTGATCCCACTTCCCAGGTAAGTAAAGTGTTCAACGCGTTCAACCACTTCATTGCCTATTGTTAGTCGGGATGCTGTCGAAGATCAGTTCTACAGCAACACTTTGCACTTGTAATGGCGAGAAACGCATCAGAGACATTTTCAAATTGTCAGCGTCTTCGCCTAAGAGGATTATATCATCTGAGTATTTCAGGTCCACCATCCTTTACAGACACTACTTATCGGACATCTAACCATAGGCTCTAACACGCCTACAGGTGTTCTCGAGTAAAGAGCTTTCAATAGGGTGATATACTTACTTGATAGCCCTGTCTCAATGACAGATACTGCCATAAGACTTCTCGATCGATGAAGTCAAATGTCACCTTCAGGTCGAGAAGTAGAGTTAGGGTTAGACGTCGGGTAAGCGTACCTGATCAATAGGTACGAGTTATTATTGGTGACTGGTTTGTTTCTTTATAATTAAGAAATACAAGTAAGCGATAATTTGCCCGTCTACACTCAAACAAAAGATTCATGATAATAAAACATTAAGGGAGAGCAGCCAATATCATGTTGTCTAGTCCTCAGTGCAGACCGAATAGCTTAGTGGTAAAGTCGCTGACTACAAGACTGGGTGACGCGGATTCGAATCTCAGGTGGGACATCAGTTCCATCGAGGTTGCAGATACGCCTTGTTGACGAGTGCCAAAAAGCACAAAACCTAGGTCGAGCAGGGCTTCCTGCCGATTACCTCCAACCAACTAGCATCTACTAATGTGCACCACGACTGCTGAGCTTCCTAACTTGGTTGCCACATTGTAAATATGATCGATAGAATTCGGTCTGCACTCAGGACTAGACAACATGAAATTGGTTGCACTCCCGTGACCAATTAATACAGGAGGTCATTCGTGGCCCGAATAGCTCAGTGGGGAAGTCGTCGACTACAACACTGGGTGACGGGGGTTCGAATCTCAGGTGGGACATCAGTTCCGTAGGGGTTGCAGATACACCTTGCTGACGAGTGCCAAAAAGAACGAAACCCAGGTCACGCAGGTCTTCTTGCCGGTTGCCTCCAATCAACTAACATCCACGTAAGCATTGCCTGACTGTGAGTAATGTATGCGTCTTGATCACTTTCAAAGATAAGCATTAGAAACTTGAGAGCATTCACTGTACAGTTGCTTCCTCCTAGTGAGGGTCTCCGGAACAGTATTTACCCATAACCCCGATCGCCAGGGATCAAACAACGCAGATTCAGTTTTCACGACCAGCATGTTATCATTGACCCTCATGGTTAAAATACAATGATCTACATTCTTTCACTTCTGTCAATTCAAGATGTAGCTCAACCTTCATTCAATGTTATCGCTGAGTATCTGTCCTCACCTTTAAACATGGTGTCGCCGTCCACAAATCTCATGATTACCTCATGAATTACAGATACGCCTTGCTGACGAGTGTCAGAAAGCACGAAACTTAGGTCCAGTACATCGTACTAACTGACTCATACCATCTAGAATATAATCCACCCTAGTTTTGTTCGTCCTATCCTGAGAGTCATCAACAGTGCGTAACCTCCACTCCTTACTAGGGTGGTTTGACGACCATCAGACCACATTACCTTGCAGTTACTGAGTTACACCCAACTGGTGCATATTTCTTAACCTTGAAATCTACCAACTCCTACAAATCTCTAAAGTAGCTTGAAATCAAAGGTGAGTAGAAACTAGTTAATTATTGTGTACACCAAGAAAGTATAAATTGAAATAAGTTATTGATGACCTACATTCTTACCTCTACAAACATATCTGGGAAATGACACCGATTCAATTTCAACTTCTCACCTTTGTTCTCAAACAGAACATCTGCTACACGGAACAAGCTTTTATTTTTTTTACTTTATTAGTCCCTTGGGTTCCTAGTGGAACATAGGGCTTCAGTAGCACGTCTCCAGTGACCTCTGTTCTCTGAGATCTTTTGAACCTGGTTCCACGACAGCCCAGAAGCTCTCATTTCCTCCTCGCATGAGCTCCTCCATGTCACCCTCATCTAGGACGGCCAACTCGTCGCTTCCCATGGGGATTCCACTCGAGCAACTGGCCTGACTCATGATGTCCTCAGTCGGCCTTCTCAGTGCATGGCCAATCTATCTCCACTTCTTCCTGCATATTTGTTGCGTGATAGATTCTTGGTTGGTTCGTCGCCAACCACAGTTCCTTGTTGCTTATTATTTCTGGCCATCTGATCTTCAGTAGCGAGCCAGCGTAAGCAGTTGTTGATGAATGTCTGTAGTTTATTGGAAATCCCTTTCGTGACGCGCCAAGTCTCTCATCCACCACACAGAAGCACTGACTTGACTGAATTGGTGTTGAATATCCGTATCTTGTTCCGCATGCTGAGTGGAGTGCAGAAGATCTCCACACTGGTTTCAGGCTAATGAACGCCTGTCTTGCTTTTCCCATTCTGACTTTGACGTCCTCGTCCGTCCCGCCTGTAGTTGAAACAGTGCTTCCTAGATAAGTGAAGGAGGTTACTTCCTTTAAGTTTCTCCCGTTGACGGTGATTGGAGTTTGTTGTTGTTGTTGGTGGTGGTGGTGCGGTATCTTCATCACTTCTGTCTTCTCTATATTCACCTGAAGTCCCGTCTTCGCTGCCTCTTCTATCAACTTGTTAGTTTTTGCCTGCAGATCTTCAAGTTTATGTGAAATTAGGCACAAGTCATCGGCGAAATCCAAGTCTTCTAGGTTCTTTTCCGTCGTCCAGCGTATCCCCCTCTTCTCGCTCCCCACTGTTTGCTGCATGATCCAGTCCACCACAATAAGGAATATCATGGGTGATAGTAGGCAACCTTGTTTCACTCCTGTCTTCACTTCACTGCAAAAGCATCACTGAACTTCCCATTGTGAATTACTTGGCATGTGGCATCTTCATATAGTTGTTGAATGAGAGTGATAAAGGTTTGCGGTACTCCGTAGTAGTGAAGCAGTTTCCAAATTACCTCTCGGTCGACGCTGTCAAAGGCCTTCCCAAAGTCGATGAAGTTCAGGTAGAGAGCTGATTGTCATTCTATACTCTGTTCTATGATGATGCGTAGCGTTGCAATTTGGTCGGCACATGATTTGTACTTCCTGAAGCCTGCCTGCCTGTTCCCGTCATACTTTTGAATCCAGTGCATCCCTTAGCCTCTCCAGGATGATGCAACTTAATATTTTTCCCGCTTGGGGTGGACAGGAGAGTGATTCCGCGCCAGTTCTTGCAAGCACTGAGGTCACCCTTCTTCGGCAGTTTGACAAGGTAACCCTTCTTCCAATCGTCAGGTACCTTCTCTTCCTTCCACACCTTCTGCAATAGTGATGTGGTGTGAGCATGTCCGCTGTTGTCTCTGCATCTGTTCTCAGTGATTCTGGCGGTATCCCATCTGGTCCTGCTGCTTTCCCACATTTCAGTAGCTTTATGGCGTTCAGGACTTCCATTTTCGTTGGAGGATTTATGCTCACTTGTAATTCAGCGGCTGCAGGTGATATTTCTGGACGAAGTGCAGGTGGTGGTCGATTCAAGAGCTTCTTGAAGTGGTCGGCCCATCGTTTCCTCTGTTTCTCTTCTTTTGTAATTAAATTTCCTTCTTCATCTTTTATTGGTTTCATCTGTGTTGGTCTCTTCCCTGATAGCAACCTGGTTATTTGATACAATGTCGTCAGGTCCTAAGCCCGGGTAAAGAGGGAAGGTTGGGTATAGGGCTAGCAACCCTACCCCGTAAAACAAATCTAACCGCTAAAGAAACTTCAAAGCACAAACAAAATATAAAAAATGAAAACACGGAACAAGCTTAACTTACACTAATGGTAGGCATTATACTTCATAGTAATAAATACAAACAAGTACTTTCAGGTTAGACTTCACCATAGACTGAAATCAATGGAAGAAATATAAGAAACCCCAGGAGGACTGGAGAATTTTTTTGTTTTAGCATAGGACTCCACAGCAGTGGACGTTCATAAACCCCCTCCCCCGTTAGGTACCGGACTCAGGTCCTTCAGGTCTCACGATCACTATATTACCATTAAGCCCCTTACTTGGGATTCAATGATCCATATTTCCTACCTATATCTATCAGTTCATGAAAATTGAACAAATACTTTGTTTTTGTCATTTAAAATGAATATTACTGATTTGTTAGTTATAACCAAAATAATGGACACGGAACTGTATCATCAATTGAAGAAAAAAACAACATTAATACTTCATCTACTAAAACAAAATATCAGTAGTATCGAAAATTAACGACAAAAATAACTGACAGTATTGAGCCTGTACTACTACTCCACATAACTACCCAGGAACTAATGCTATGGATGATATCTACGTTTAAGAACATGTTCTGTTTGGTGTGAACAGTGCATCCAATTGAGTTATTACACTGGCAAATCCAATAAGGATTCTGTGCCACCGCCTGTAGTTGAAACAATGCTGTCTAGGTAGGTGTAGGTGAAAGAGACAACTTCCTCTAGGTTTCTCCCGTTAATGGTGATTGGAGCTTGTTGTTGTTGGTGGTGGTGGTTGGATATTTTCATCACTTCTGTCTTCTTTACGTTCACCTGAAGTCGTGTCTTCCTTGGCTACCCTGTCTCTTCTGTCAACTTGTTACGTTTTGCCTGTAGATCTTCAAGTTTGTGCGACAAGACAATAGATATAAATCATCATCGTTGGCGAAATCCAAATCTTCTTCTGGGGTCTTTTCATCGGTCAAGCAGCGTATGACCATCTTCTCACAGCTCCTAACAGTTTGTTACATGATCCAGTCTAGTCGACCACAATCAGGAAGATGATCAGTGGTGGTAGGCGGCAACCTCGTCTTACTCCTTCGTGTTTTCCCTTCAAATGCATCACTGAGCTTCCCATTGTGAATTACTTGCCATATGGGGTCGTCATATAGCAACTGAATGACTATCTGTCTTTGATATCTTTAGAGATTTACTATTGTTATTATCACGAGTTGATATCATACAGACGACTGGTGGGAACCTGGGAGGACTGGACAACTGTTTCGTCATGGTCCAGGATTTCTCAATAGGATGGAATGACCTCCCCATCCCTCCTGTAAAGGTTATTATAAAAGCCAACTCACGATGGTTCTACAAGAGGCATTCAAAAGTGATAAACGCAACTCAGCTATGCCAAGCACTTTCTTGCACTAGGTAATAATCCAGATCTCTTGTGTGAGAAGATTATGACACCATCTGGATGACTCCAAATCTCCATAGAGCCTAGGCAAAGGTCAATAACGGGTACAGCTCCTAATCATAAAAAAGTCAGACAACTGCAAAACAGTTAAGTGTCTCTCAGGAGTTTAGCTATGACATGTCTGTAAAACAAAGGATAAACAAATTATTCCACATTTATCTTACTTGTGTAGCCGCTAGTGCAGTTATTGCTGCTTGACGATTAGGTAGGAATGGATCACGAGTTGCTCGAAGAAAAGCGCTCAACATTGGACCGCGTTGTGTCTGTGTTGAAAAGTGTGGTGCTAATTTTGCTAAGCATACAGTTGAATTAGTACGAATTCCGCCTTGTTCATCACGTGCCTAAAACAGGAGTGAATAGTAGAAATACAAGGAGACATTAAAAGTTGTTAAGTTATTCAACTGAAGTTAAGAGATAAAACATGTAAAAAGGCACAGATATCTGTTTATTGATACTTGTAATTTCCTTTTGCTATAAGGCGTCGAACTGCTCGACTTCTGTTGGTAGATGGGTTCCTATGCGTATTCCTTGATACTGTCAGATATTCATGACGTTGTATTGATCCTGGCGACTAGCAGTACAGTCAAGGACATCAGTTGGGGGAATATTGGAAACCTGGGAGAACCGGACAGCTGTTCCATCCTAGCATGGAACTCCTCAGCAGTGCACCGCGTCGTCAGAGATCGAACCGAGGACTTTTGAGCAACTGGGTCGGAATCCAGTGGTCCATAATTCCTACTTCTGTCAATTCATAACATAGTGCGATCTACATTCAATGTCGTCGTTGAGCAACTGTCCTCATGTTCGACTTCGTTGACTCCATTGGTCACGACTTCATACTGCTGAAAACTCAGCTTTTACACCAAGCACTATTGAACAAATAAGATTTGGGACAAACAAGATAAGTGTCTTGTTAGTGAACACAGTATTTCGATATAGTACAGAGTATGACGCATACACAGTGACCTAACGTGTAGGTAAAGCGTCTCCTTCTTTTGACCGATGTTGATGTTGTCTATCTATGTCTTGTTTGAAGTGTGAGATATAAGACAAAAAGTGCTGTGTAACCCCAACCAACAATAACAACAACAAGCACGAATCACCGTCAACGGGAGAAATCTAAAGGAAGTAGTCTCTTTCACCCACCTACTTAGGCAGCATCGTTTCAACTGCAGGCATTGGCACAGATGAGGATGTCAAAGCAGCCAGGATCGGAAAGACAGCAAGATAGGCTTCCATTAATCTGTGCAGATCAGTATGCAGATCTACTGCACTCCACTCAGTATAAAGCGTGAACAACATCCAGCTTTTCAACACCAATTCAGTCAAGTAAGTCAGTGCTTCTGTGTGATGACTGAGAGAGTTGGCGAGTTACGGAAAGCATTTCTAACAAATAACAGACACACACAGCAGCCGCAGATACTGACAGTGAAGATCAGATGAGATGGCCAAAATAATAAGAATAAGCAAGAAGGAACTCTGGCTAGCTGACTGGCAGCGAACCAACGAACTAAGAACCTATGATCCAACAAATATGCGGAAGAAGATAGAGATGAACTGGATTGTGCATACACTGAGAAGATTGATTGAGGACATGACGTGTCAGGCAAGGCCCTCAAGTGGAATCCAAAGGGGTTAAAACCTTTAGGGTATGAACATTGAAATGTATATTGTTTATAAAAAGCAACAGTTTGAATGAAGAATATTCTTTTCAAGAAATTCTTGAATCAGGTACTACAACTATAAAATGCTATTTTACACCTTAAAAACAAACCATGTAAAAATTAGTCAATATTAGGATGATACAAATGTAGAAGAATGATATAATAATGAACAAAAAGATAATGAATAAGATGGCAAAAATGGTATTTAGTTTATTGAAAGTCAAAAAGGAAGTAACGCCTAGATACGGTTCTTTCTGAATGCCTCCGCTATGTTGAGCAGATGTGTTGGTAAGCTATTTGGAATACAATTGAAAGCTTTACTAACACATTGATATGATACTTTGTGTCAACTAAGTGTACTACAACTGAACTTTTCAATAATTTCACTTAACCCTTTCCGAACCAAGCTGACCTGGTAAATACTCTCTTATCCAGAGATGCATTTGACTAATCGTACGTCATATGTAACTAGTTTCCATAGGAACAGTTAAATTGATATGTACAAGATGAAAAGATAAGATTAGGTAAGCTATCCTTTAGTCTTAGACTGAGTGTTGATCAACTACTGAATAATATACAAAGCCAACGTGCATACAACGTTCTGTTGAATGTTTTAGCTAAGCATTGTGACCGAATATCACTTGTAACATCTCCCTTGAATTGTTAACTCAGAAACACAACGCTTCTTCTCAACTGTTATCACTTCTTGTTTAGAACCAATGTAGTAAGTTGTTATTCATCGTGGACTGACATCAGTTGGAGGAACAAAGGAAACCTGGGAGCACTGGACAGCTGTTTCGTCCTAGTATGGGACTCCTCAGCAGTGAGCACCCACAACCCCATCAGCAGGGATCGAACCCGCGACCTTCAGGTTCGTGGGGTCGTGGGTGCGCACTGCTGAGAAGTCCCATACTAGCACGAAACAGCTGTCCAGTGCTCCCAGGTTTCCTTTGTTCCCCCAACTGATGTCAGTCTTCGATGAATAACAACTTGAAATATTTCCAAATCTCCACAACCCCCTCAAAATTTAATGTAGTAAGTGTTTGTTTTGATGAACTTATGCACTAAAGTTCATCAATCGTTATTAGAATGTCTTAACAGTGTAAACTAATGAGTATTTTGTCCTACAGAAGGATGTTTACATTATGTTACCGTATATAAAGGCGGAATCAAACAGTGCGATGTTAAGACGAAGATTTACTTCAGTTACTAAAATGATTATACTAAGCAGCCAAGCTTAATATTATCGAGATAATGAAACCTCTATGATTACGTCACATCCTGCTGTGCATACCAATTTACGTGTGTGTATGTGGGCGGTGACGCATACAATGGGAGGTAGTACTCGAACTATAAAGTCGATGATAACTACAAAAACAATTACATTCAAATAACCCTTAGCTATATGAAAGTTCAAAACCCCATTTGTTTATTCAAAAACAATTTTTCCTTACCTTAAACTTATCTACGTAATCTTTATCTCATTTTAATGCCAACGGAAGTATGAAAATGTATTACTATTCCTCCGTATTATTTCCATATTTCCCAAATGTTGTATTATCTTAATTAATTTATTTTATTATTCCCTTGGGTTCCTAGTGGAACATACGACTTCAGTAGCACACCTCTTTTCGACTCTTTTCTCTGCAGTCTTCATTTTCAACCTGGCTCCACGACTGCCCACAAGCTTTCATTTCTTCCTCACACCATCTCCTTCATGTCACCCTCCCCTCGGACGCCCAACTGGTCGTTTCCCCTTTAGATTCCACTCGACAACCTGGCCTGGTACATGATGTCCCCAGTCAGCCTTCTCAGTGTATGCCCAATTCATCTCCACTTCAACTTTCTTCTGCATATTTCATGGGTGATAGGTTGTTGGTTGGTTCACTGCCAGTTAGCCAGCTAGAGTTCCTTGTTGCTTATTCTTTCTGACCATCTCATCTTCAGTATCGAGTGATCGGCGTAGGCAGCAAGGTGTTGATGAATGTCTTTAGTTTGTTGGAAGTGGTTTTCTGAACCATATAGCAAATTTATTTATTTTACTCTACCCTATTTTCGCCCTTCATATAAAATCCTTTGAGAAGTAAACGTGTGATCAGATTGTTCGAAATGTATTGCGTGAATACACACATCACATTTCTCAGATAACCTCCATCATCCTCTTATGTAAATTGAATGTAGTCAACTTGTACATATGAGCTACAATAATACCACCTGTGGAATAGAATGTTGCTAGAGCAGTGAAACGACAGGAAGTCGTGTTGATAAACGCTAATAGATAATAAACCTTAGTAAAACAAGATTTCCTAACAATTAAATTCCATTGTTTAGATCTAAGATACAGTAACTATTCAGTTAGCCTGCTGGCTATATTACAAGTCTCAACCGTAGACTAGGTCACTCTATCAAGCACTTGGTAGCTAGGTAGGTGGGCTACTACGCACAATTCAATTTTCACATTGATAAAAAAAACGTATCGATATAACGATTAAACTACTTATAGGGTTGGATCATCACACTGAACATGTGGTGTATATTGACTTGACTAACTTGTGGACAAAAGGTTGGTGATTGGAGGCCTCTCACCTCCATTCGACCTATTGTAGTTTAGTAAAACTAGGTAGTAAGAAAGTAACCTCCTTCATCTATCTAGGAAGCACTGTCTCAACTACAGGCGGCACAGACGAAGATGTCAAAGTCAGAATCGGAAAAGCAAGACAGACGTTCATTAGCCTGAAACCAGTGTGGAGATCTTCTGCACTCAGCATGTGGAACAAGATCTGGATTTTCAACACCAACGTCAAGTCAGTGCTTCTTTATGGTTCAGAGACTTGGCGCGTCACGAAAGGCATTTCCAATAAACTACAGACATTCATCAACAACTGCCACCTACGCTCGCTCGCTACTGAAGATCAGATGGATTGCCAGAAAGAATAAGCAACAAGGAACTGTGGTTGGCGACGAACCAACCAAGAACCTGTCACGCAACAAATATGCAGAGGGAAGTGGAGATGCATTGGGCATGCACTAAGAAGGCCGACTGGGGACATCATGAGTCAGGCCAGTTGCTCGAGTGGAATCTCTAAGGGAAGCGACGAGTTGGACGTCAGTGGCGAGGGTGACATGGAGGATCTATAACAAGTTCCAGTTGATTGGAACTTAGGGGTTTGTGAGGATTTAGTGGTTTAAGTTGGTATTCATCATGGAGTGATATAAGTTGGAGGAACAATGTGAACCTGGCAACACTAGACAAGTGTTTCGTTCTAGTAAGGGGACTCCTCCTAAGCAGTGCGCAGCCATGACCCCATACTATCAGGGATTGAACCCAAGACCTTTAGGTCCAATGGTCTATATTTCTACATTCTATCAATTTACAATATAGTGCGACTTTTAATCAATCAGTCACCGGACTCGAACTCAGTTCCAACTAACAAGGTTTCCTTCATTGTTTGTTGAATCATCATTTATGTGACTGTTGAATACATTTTCAAATCTAAACTTTATAACAATCTGTAATGATTACTGTTTATTGATATAATTATGATTCTCCGTTGTTTGTTGTGTTGGATCGAATTGTTCGACCCCTATTGAGATATGGGCTTCTATGAGGATGCCTCGATATTGCCTAAATGTTAATTATGATAATTCGGTTGGTTGTGGCTAGGACAGGAATACATGACCCGCATTTCATCCTATTCAAAACTCAGTCATCAGCTGGATGTACATGTACCCCAGTGACTGTTGTTGTTCACATTGATACTCCAGACTTGTACCTATCGCATCAAACGCCAACGATTTATCCACTATGCCACGCAGGAACCATAGCCACTTCTTCTACAATGGGTAGTAGTTATTACTATTTATTCATATACTTGGAATTCCCCGTTGTTTGTTGTGTTAAATCGAAGTGTTCGACCTCTACTGGCATATGGGTTCCTATGCGGATGCCTCCATATTGCCTGAATCGTAATTACGGTAGTTTGGTTGACTATGGCCAGCATAATAAAGTTTATAATGTTTACTTGTCTTGTAATATCAATCGATAGCCAAATGTCTCTTCTTCATACGCTTATATTCAACAGCTCCACATAAATCACACCCTGTTATTAACATTCGACTACATAATCCAAGTTAAATGACCAATGCAAACAAAACATCGAAGAGGAGTGAATGAGTGAGTGAAACAGATATTTCAACTTACAGCTAGTATTCATCATCGACTCACATCACTTGGGGAACCATTGAAAATCTCCGAGCACTTCACAGCTACCTGTTTCGACCTAGTTTATACGACTCCTTACCAGTAAGCACCAACCACCTACCTAGGCATCCAACTCATGACCTTCAGCTTTCACGTCAAACACCTTAACCATTCAGCCTCTTCACTAACCTCAAAAATACATTACTCTACAGTGCTCATTAATGACTTGCTTCTAGATAGATATCACGAAGCTCGAATGAGAAGCCGTGACCTGTGGCGTCAACCACTCGGAAGTGAAATAAATGCGAACTGAAGACCTTGGGTGATAGTCGCGCTATATCATCGTGAATTGAAAGAAGTTACAAATTGTGAACTACTGAAAACCGACACAGTGACTGAATGGTTAACGCATTCACCGTTAAACCTGAAGGTCGTGACTTCGATCCCTAACCAGGCCGTGGATGCGCACTGCTCAGGAGTTTCATACTAGGAGGAAACAGTTGTTCAATGCTCCCAGATTTTCAATAGTTCCCCAACTGATGTCAGTCCATGATGAATACTACTTCTAAATATCGAGGCATCTATGCAAGAGCCCACATGCTAGTAGACACTGATCAATTCAGTCTACTCAACGATGGGAGAATACAAGTAATAATACTAAAACTATACCCATCGCATAAAAAGTGGATATCATGGCTCGCTGGTCCAGTGGATAAGGCTGTGGCGTTTGAAGCAATTAGTCCCGGGTTCAAGTCTCGATGGGAACAACATCGCTCACTGATAGGTAGGTGTACATCTAGGTGACGAGTCCAGAACAGGATGAAATGCGCATCCTGGCCACTATCCATCATAAAATGTGATAATGACATACATAATCTAATTGAAGTTTCTGCAATTGAAATAACGACAAGAGTAGCAGTCAAGATTACGTAATCAGGTGATAGAATAAATGAGCAAAATAGTGTAAGTCAAGCTCAGTTAGTTAAAAGCATTCGATATGAACGAAAGATGATGCAACTCCGTAAGAGTTAGGGAATAAACACGTAAATTTGATATGACATATGACGTAATCTATTTTGAGGTGAATGGGGATTTTTATTTCGAGGTAGTAATCATCATGCACTGATATTAGTTGAAGAACCACTGACAACCTGAGAGCACTGAACAGCTAGCTGTTTCGTCCCAGTGCGGGACTCCTCAACAGTACGGACCCACGACCCGTCTACGGATAGAACTCACGTTTTACGGTGAACACGTTCATTATTTAGCCACTTGGTCGGGTTGAGTTCAATGCTTCAAAGTTTTTAACCCTTGTCAATTTGTGATATAGTTGTGACTATCCCCACCAAGGTCTTCACTTGGTATCCGCTTCCCTTCCGAGTTGTTCACTTCATAGGTCATGACTTCTGATTACAACCTTGGGATATCCATCTGGATGCATGTCACTAGTGAGCACTATAGAGTAATGTATTTTTGAAGCTAATGGGGAGTCCCATACAAGGACGAAACACCTGTTCAGTGCTCCAGAGTTTTCAATTGTTCTTCACATGATATCAGTCCATGATGAATACTATCTTAAAAAGGCATGGTGTAATGAAATGATAATCAAGAAAGGTTATCAAGGTAGACAGAAGGTTGAACACAAGAAGTAGCTATCGTGGCTTCGTGGTGTTGCGGATAACACTCTGACGTTTGAAGCAATCGCTCCCCAGTTCGAATCCCGGTGGGAACAACATCACTCACTGGGAGATGGCAAGTAGATCCAGTTGACTGGTGAGTCCCAAATAGAACGAAATGAGCATCCTGGATTCCACTGTTAGCCACTACTCATCATTACTATCATAAGAGTGCAGGTAATATTGAGGCATCTGCACAGGATCCTTGAATTTGCCGTTATCTTAGACCTTATCTATCTATGACGATTTCTATCTATCTTATGGATTGGGCACACACTGAGAAGGCCGACTGGGGACATCATGAGTCAGGCCAGTTGCTCGAGTGGAATCCCTAGGGGAAGCGACGAGTTGGACGTCCAAGGGTGACATGCAGGAGATCGTGAGAGGAGGAAATGAGAGCTTCTGGGCTGTCGTGGAGCCAGGTTCAAAAGATTTCAGAGAACAGAGGTCACTGGAGACGTGCTACTGAAGCCCTATGTTCCATTAGGAACCCAAGGGACTAATAATAATAACCACTGTTCAATATTCTCTTTACTTTCAGTGAATTAAAGTATGTTAAACCTTTAGTAAAACTATTGATTTTGATATTCTAGATTGTAGGCAGTTGGCAAGACGGCGTCGAAAAGAAATCGATTCATTTTATTCTACTACTATTGTTATTCGTGCCATTTTTAAATTAATAAAGTCGGGTTTCAGTTTTTTTTTCTTAGTAGGAATAAAGAAAATAATTAGTTATTTCGGCGGTTTTTAGAATTGTCCAGTTGCCCTTTGTAACATGATGATTGATTGACTAAATCAACATAGATCCTTGCATAGAAATCCATCATCTCAAGTTGTCACACTTTACAGTAATATACAAAGAACAGGTGGATAGAAAAGGAATGATGTCAAAGTTGTGTCAGAGGATAAACAATTTGAAGACAACAGTTAATGTGAATATTCAACCTTCCGGTGTCAAAGAGTGAATATGTATGCGCATCATTTTGACCGATTTTCAGTCATGTCACTAAGAGTACCCCAGTCACTGATTTCTATCGTCTCATAGACCCCAGCCAGATGGTCTACATATCCTAACATGGCTAAAACCTATATAGTCACAGATTTCATCTACTGGTGCCAGGTTTCGGTCTAGTCAGCCTGAACCCTTTTCCAACCTAATCAAACTTCTTCCAGGGTTGTACATTGAGGTGCGTAGTAACTCGGCATGCGCAGTACATGTCCAATCCATCTCGATCGAATAAGGTTCACAACTTCATCAATCGATATGCCTATCTTGTCAATTACCCTTCACTTGACTTGAACATTACTCACAAGATGATTCAACAAAAAGTCAGCAATGCTGTGTAGACACCTATGATCAAAACCTTGTCTTTTACTTTCAACGATCATGTCTCACAGTTATACAACAGGACAGAATGAAGTGTAGAGCAGTATACTAGATATTTCATGAGTCGGCGACGCACATTTGCAAGTTGGCAAATGTTAAACGGGCTGAAATTTTGTCAAATAATCAGCCCATTCAAGGTGATGCAACTCCCGAAGTAAATGAAAACGGTGAACATATCCTACCACTTCATTCTCTACGGTTAAACCGGGAGTAGCTACACTCCAGTCCTAAAGTATCATTTCATATTTGACATGTGCAAAACATGTGTATAGACTTTCCATTTATCCTGTCTAAATAGCATTGCTGTTTTTTTGTTAATCAGTCTAGTAAAGGAAGTTACTTTTACTCGGGTCAACAGAATCCTATTAGCTACCTACCTATAGGAGAAGAGTAACATTATCTCAGCTAGTAGTAGTAGTAGTAATAGTAATAACAATAGGTGTATACTATAGAAACTATGATAGATGATTATAAATCATAAGTGATTACTTACTTGTAATGTAGTTACATGTTTTATTAAATTTTCATTCAATAGTTTACTTGAAAGTTTTGGCGCTAAATGAATCATTGCACGTACAGTTGCTTCACGTACAATTGGATGTGTATCTGTGAAACCAGAAGAAATTGAAGTGAAAATTTGTGTTTCAATAACTTTTGTTTTGATATGTTGTATAAAATCGGGTAAATGTTCTAATAAGCGTACACGTGTTACACGTTCAGGTGATGAAAATAATTTCAATAAACATGGTAATACATATAATTGAAAATCAATTTCTGTTAACAATGGTATAAGACGTAGAACAGGTAGAAGAGCATCAATTCCAGCCGATCCATAACGTAAACCATTAACTAAATGTGGAAGTATTTTATGTCGGCATACATCATCTGGAAAACTTGTCACTTGTGTAGCAAGATTTCTGAGAAATGTTGACTTTTCCTTTCGAGAAAAAAGAAAAACAAGAATAATATAATTATAAAATTGTACACTGGGGAAGTCAATTTCAATGAAAACATTAAGAAAAAATATGTCATATACACCTTGAGAAAGAAATGAAATCTTGTAAGCATTTCTGGAACTAGGTTGAAAATGAAGACTGGAGAGAAGAGAGTGAAATGGAGACCTACTACTGAAGCCGTATGTTCCACTAGGAACCCAAGGGACAAATAATAATAATAATAATGCAAATCATTCTTACCTGACCTGGCAATCAGCTCTCTACCTCAACTTCATCGACTTTGAAAAGGCCTTTGACAGCGTCGACCGAGAAGTAATTTGGAAACTGCTTCAATACTACGGAGTACCGCAAACCTTTATCCGCCTCATTCAACAACTATATGAAGATGCCACATGCCAAGTAATTCACAATGGGAAGCTCAGCTCAGTGATGCTTTTGAAGTGAAGACAGGAAGGAGTGAAACAAGGTTATCTACTATCACCCATGATATTCCTTATTGTGGTCGACTGGATCATGCAGCAAACAGTAGGCAGCGAGAAGAGGGGGATATGCTGGACGGCGGAAAAGAACCTAGAAGACTTGGATTTCGCCGATGACTTGTGCCTAATGTCACATAAACTTGAAGATCTACAGGCGAAAACTAACAAGTTGGCAGAAGAGAAATGGCAACGAAGACGGGAGTTCAGGTGAATATAGAGAAGACAGAAGTGATGAAGATACCGCACCAACAACTCCAACAACAACAACAAACTCCAATCACCGTCAACGGTAGAAACTTAAAGGAAGTAACCTCCTTCACTTATCTAGGAAGCACTGTTTCAACTACAGGCGGGACGGACGAGGACGTCAAAGTCAGAATCGGAAAAGCAAGACAGGCGTTCATTAGCCTGAAACCAGTGTGGAGATCTTCTGCACTCAGCATGCGCAACAAGATACGGATTTTCAACACCAACGTCAAGTCAGTGCTTCTATATGGTTCAGAGACTTGGCGCGTCACGAAAGGCATTTCCAATAAACTACAGACATTCATCAACAACTGCCACCTACGCTGGCTAGTTACTGAAGATCAGATGGCCAGAAAGAATAAGCAACAAGGAGCTCTGGGAACGAACCAACCAACAACCTATCACGCAACAAATATGCAGAGGAAAGTGAAAGTGGAGATGGATTGGGCATGCACTGAGAAGGCCGACTGAGGACATCACGCGTCAGGCCAGTTGCTCGAGTGGAATCCCCATGGGAAGCGACGAGTTGGACGTCCAAGGGTGACATGGAGGAAATCGTGTGAGGAGGAAATGAGAGCTTCTGGGCTGTCGTGGGACCAGGTTCAAAAGATCTCAGAGAACAGAGGTCACTGGAGGCGTGCTACTGAAGCCCTATGTTCCACTAGGAACCCAAGGGACTAATAATAAAATAATAATAATAATAATAATTCTTACCTGACTATCCTTCAATTCAATCTCCTCTAAAAACAATAATGTATCAACATAGTCATTGGCTAGAAAACCGCCTTTTCTGAACTACAAGCAGATCGAAGAAATTGAGATACAGTGTACCGTTTCACTCCACCCTTTGTAGCACTTACAGCTATTAAACGTCGATAATCAGGAATTAATGTTTTTGGTATATTTTTTATACATGAAGATTCAGTTAGTTGACTACGATCTTTTAAAATTGATGATGGATTGAATATTTCCCATATTAAACAACCTAAACCCCATGAATCAACAAGACGACCATCTGAAGGAATATATGGATCTATGAAAATAAATAAATAAATAATAGTCAATTTAATTATCCATGCTGAACAGAAAAAAAATGTGTATACAGGAGAATGAATATCATTTTTCAAGGTGGCAATCATCACGAAGTGATATCAGTTTGAGAATAAGTAAAGAAAACTAGAGCACGACTCCTTAACAGTGCGCACCCATAACTCTGTCAGGGATCGAAACTCGGACCTTCAGGTTCTAATCAATCAACCAATCAATATCAACATAGGAACAGGCATTACTGCGTAACCCTCCGAGTTGCCACCACACCTCATATCACTACATCAAGTAAAAAGGTAGTGAGGTGAAAGATGAAGATAAGAGAATGCAGTCAAAAGAAATATAAGGTACAAGAAGAAAGAAAAGAGGGATAATAAAATGGTAAGGTTCATTGTAGCGTCGTTAAGATGAGGATAATGTGTGTGGATATACATCTGCACCACTCACATCGGTTCTCAGCCATATCACCTACAGTCTCCAACCACTGGTTCCTCTTGTCCCCCCACCCCTCCCCCACCGACCCCAACCACCTAGTCTACATCGCCCCACCCCACATGCCTCAAAACAAACACTCAAACACTTCATACATTCATGACATGTTTTAGTCTGGCCAACTCAGGCCTTCGGTGAAGTTTCGATGAAGTTTCATACCCTCGTCTGCTGATTTACCTCTTCTCCCTAAAACTCTACTCCCGACTTCTGCATTACTCACGTGGTGACACCACAGAATACGGCATAGCCTATACTACGAAGGCAATGGTGGTCAAACACTTGAAGCCAGCCTTCTCATGTCTTCCGCCTTCAATGGCCATGTTTCACAGCCATACAGTAGAAGAGAGCGGACTGCTGTGCAGTACATGCGACTCTTAGTAGACAAACAATGTCACGGTGGCGCCATAGGTGGTGTAAATTGGCAAAAGCCAATCGAGCCTTTTGTATCCGTGCAGAGATTTCACCAGCCACCGAACTATCAGGGCTGATCCTACTTCCCAGGTAAGTGAAGTGGTCAACACACTCAACCACTTCACTCTCTACTGTTAGCCATGGCACCGCTGAAGACCAATCCTGGGGCAGCAATTTACATTTAGGTAGTGAGAACCGCATCCCAAACATTCTCAAATTCCCACTCAGTGTTGAGAAGACTCTCAATCTTGTCAGCGTCTTCACTTAACAGGACAATGTCATCTGCATATTCTAGGTCTAACGAAAATTCTCCTGTGATTCGGTCAACGTCTGTGCAATTAGGTTCCACGGCCAGTACGTTATAAATGAGATACTGGGTCAGAATCGAATGTTTTACACGAACAATTCGCCACATGCCTCAACCGTCATCCAATCCCATTTGTTCTTAAACCCAACTTGGTTACGACATAGATAACAGAAGTGTAGTAGAAGTTTGTGATAACTAATACAGTCACCAGAGAGAAACTATTCAGTTACAAGAGAAGGGTATCCTGACAATCAGTATCTCCAAAGGTGTCTCTCATCGAGCTTAGAAGTCAAGTCTTGTAACTTAGTTGGTACAGAACCGGGTCAGAAACACGATGGTCAGTGGTTCGATTTCTGCTCAGCCGCAGAGTTTCATTTCACCTTCATTCATCACCCAGTTTCAATACAAGTCTGCCAAACCACAGCTATCTATCTGAGATAGTCAGACAAGGAGTTGGAGATTAAATAAATTTCGAGAATACACCCATCAAACTAACTGGTCAACATATTGTAGTCTACGTGGTGGCTAGCAGTGGAATCCAGCAGGATAAGCATTTCGTCTTATTTGGATGTGCGGAGTGATGTTGTTCCCACTGGGAGTCGAAACCGGTACACATCACTTCAAAACCCAAATAGTTCGCAATATATTGAATATCCGGGCAGTATCAAGGCGTCCGAATAGGAGCCCATCTGCCAACAGAAGTCGAGGAATGCGACTCAGTATAGCAACGGGAAGTTATAAGTATCACTAAACAATAACTGCTCAACAGGCGCAGATTCTTTAATCCAACCTGATCTTCACTTCTGAACTGGAACAAATAACAAGGTGCATCTGATTTCGATCTGTCAAATGAAATCTTAACCAGATGTTAGTTGGTTGAAGGCAATCGGTAGGAAGTCCTGGACCTAGGTTTTGTGCTTTTTGGCACTCGTCGATAGAATTCAGTCAGCACTTAGGACTGGAGACTGAATGAAGTTGATTACCCTCTAGTGACCGATCGGTGTACTTAATCCAATCCTACAAGAAGTCAGTTGCATCCCAAATAGCTCAGTGGTGACGTCACTGACTTCAACAGTGGGTAACGCGGATTCAAATCTCCGGTGGGACATTAGTTCCGTAGGAGTTGCAGATACAACCTGCTGACGAGTGCTAAAAAGCACAAAAACCAGGTCTATGGCTTCCTGTCTCCATCTAATAAACACCTATCTCAGTGCATCACGATGCTGAGCCACAGTCTAGTGGCCAAATTGCAAAATGATCAACAGAATTCAATCAGCCCTTAAGACTAGGCTGCATGAAGTTGGTTATCCTCCAGTGACCAATGAATGAAAACTTAACCAACTTTACTAGAAAAAAAAAACCCGTTCGTGAATGAAGATAGTCAAATTTGAATGTTCTGTTCCAAATTTACTGAAGCGTTAATATTAACATCTTCCTTAGAAAATAATTGGATCATAGTTTAGTGAAAGGGCTATTAGAAAGCCATCCAAGTGCTCACTTCAAGAAATACCTACATTAATTCGATATTTGTAGACAATAGTAAACATTCAAGGTGAAGACATCGGGGGGTATAACTTAAAATAAATCACAACCATGCAGACAGATGCTCTCATTCTATATTTTTTGCCATATTGAGTACCGAGCAAGTGTATAATGCTTATTTAGGCTAACTACACTAACTCTCACAGGAGTTTAAAGGCTTATGAAGAGTTATCATGTGAACTGAAGAATACTAATGGTGTCCAACAGCGATTTCCACTGTCGCCGTTCCTATTTCACTTCGTCATTGACATGTACTAATGAATGTAACTCTATGTACACCTGACTTCACAGCGATTGACCTACTCCCTGTAGGTTATCTCGTTGACTTGGAGTAGGCAGACGATGTCGTCCTGTTTGCTGAAAACGCTGACAAAATGCAGGATCTTATCAAGACATTGAGCGGAGATCTGAGTATGTTTGGCATATGTTTCACTGGTGCTTATCAAATGTATGATGATGCTCCAGAAGTGGTCTGCTGCAGCTATTCCCAGTTCAATAATAGGAAGTGAAGTGGTAGAACGTGTCAGTCACTTCATTCACATGTGGAGTTGCACCAGTGTGAATGGGGTAGTTACTGAAGAAATCTCAGCTTGGATACAGAAGACCCATTTGGCATTTGCCAACTCGCGTCATGTGCAAAATATCCAGTATACGGCGCTACAGTTCGTTCCACTCTGTTGTACGACTGTGAGACATGGTCGCTGAAAGTTGAAGGCATAAAGGAATCACAAGGTTGTGATCATAGATGCCTTCGTAGCATTGCTCGCGTTTTGTGGAATCACTATGTGTGCAGTCTCGACGTTAGGCGAAAGAAAGTCGACTGACAGGGTTGTGAACCTTATTCGACTGAGATAGCTTTCACATGTACTGCGCATCTTCAGTTCTTGCCTACCTCGACGTGCCATGCTAGGGTAAGTCGGATTAGGTTGGAAGAGGGTTCAGAGTGTGGAGACTAAGACCTGGCATCAGTAGATGAAGTCCCTGACTGTTGGCCTGAGTCGTATTGGGATATACAGACTATTCACCTGGGTTCTTTGAGACTATAGGAGTCAGTGGTTGGGGACTCTTGGTGACATTACTGAAAACCGGTCACAATCGCGCATATGTATTCACTTTTTGAGGTCTTCAGACAGCTTATTCTCTCACACAACTCTGTCTACTGTTATATCACTCCTTTTCTATCCACCTGTTTTTTGTGTACTACTGTAAAGCATAGCAACTTGAACCGATGGTACCTAAGTGCAAGGTTCTAAGTTGATTCTGTTTATCTGACTTTCGCTATACTTTGAATAGTTTACTAGTTCACTAGTTCATCGTTTCGTATAGTTTTAAAGGTTTACTTTAATCTTGTGTTTTTCTTGTTGCTTTATTCTCACTACAGTTTATTGAAGTGTACCAAGTTTAACTAAGTCATTGGTTAATTAATCAATCAACTGGACTACTGTCCAATTTACCTCCTTCTGTATATAAATCACTAGTCTGTCTTCCTAGTTTACGCAATTATATATACACAATAATATGCTCCGTCAGTAAAATGTTGACACCTTCGATCCTTTGACTAAACATGATAGTGAATATGCTGACCACCGGTAAAGGACTCTGCATAACAATGTCCACATTTTCTCATCCAATAAAAGAAGGTGGAGATCAGAGAATTGGTTACAATCGAAACGCTGTGTGAAGAAAGCAGTAACATTGTCTTTCAGATACAACCTATACCTTAATCAGACTCAAGTAAGGAATTAATAAAATGGGTAGTTAAGCAGAGAGATGTCTGTGACATTGTATTAGAACAACCTGACCACACTCAGACATAAGTGTGATATTGAATTGAAATACTCTCAACCACCTTGTGCAGTAGACACTGAGTCACACCTATTGTGTGAAGGTTAATGATACTACCTAGTTATCCAAACCTCCACAGATGGAGAGGTGTTCAAACCCGTGACTCATTGATTGAAAGTCATCTGCCAAAACTATTTAGTCGCAGACTCGCAACATACAGTTTATATTAAGAACGAAACGGTGATCGAACACGTGAAGTCTTCGCACTTCCTATACCTTTAATGGCTACATCTCAGAGATACATAGTGAAATACAACCATCTGCAGCGTACTACACCCGGCCATTAACAGATAATCATATATCACGGAGGCCAAATTAGTGTTTTGTATCCGTACAGATATTTTGTCGGTCACTGACCTATCAAGGCTGATCCAATTTACCAGCAAAGTGAAATGGTCAGCGCGCTGTTAAACAAGACCAGTCGTGGATCAACAATTTGGAATCGGGCGATCAGGAAAGCATCCCAAACATTTTCAAATTGCTGCTCAAGGTGTCTTGAAGACTGAATCTTTTCAGTGTCTTTATCTAACAGGGCTATGTCATTTGCGTACTCTAAATCTACTGAGGAGTTTCCTACGACAAAGTAAATCCCTGGAAAGTTAGACAAGACAGAATTAAGTAAAAGCGGAGAAAGTGAACATTCTTAACAAACTCTATTCCACATAACCCTAGGCTCTGAAAAGTCAGCAGGTGTTCAAATGCAAAGCATTCAGTGATGTGGTGTACTTGACTGGCACTCGTTCCAATTTGAGACCGTGTCATGAAATCCGTCGGTTGATGGAGCTGAATATCAGCCTACGGCAAAAAATTGCAGCTAGTATCAGGAGCTGGTAAGTGTGCCTATGTCCCAGAACTTGGCGGAGCGTATTTACCTGGTCGACATGCATACGATCGGTCACGTACCACTATTACTAACCCAAATTTGCTTCCAGATATCTCAAAAAGAAATAACCTCCCATGGTTTAAGCAGTTGGGAAGTGTCAACAGGTCTCATAACTGTCAGCACTTAATATACGACCAGCTGTGAATACTGCTTGATTTCCTCGGGTTCGCTGTTCCCGAGCTCCACTCAGACATCTAGTGATTACGGAACCTAGAATTTAGTACCCTACGTTCATCATACTGATTCCCTACGGTTATCACAAGAGGATTTCTCGCCTTTCTTGAAGACAAGGACAATCATTAATTGTTACCAGTCCCAGTCAATCGTATCCGATTCCGATGAGCTAGCTAACACTTCCGTTAACCTGACCAATAGTCGACAACCACAGTCCTTAAATACCTACAGTACTAACCCATCTGGCTCCCTCCTGTTCCTCGTTCCAGGCTAGTTACAGCCGTCTTTACTTTGGCAAAAGTTGGAAGCTCTATCTGTGTTTCGTTCTGGAGTCTTGGTACCGAAGCTTGCTGTTTGATTTAACGGAGAGTATGGACATTGAAAACTGCAATACGTAGTTCGCAGTGCGATTTTTAGGAGACCAGGAGTGCTGCCCAAATTGTTGTCAAGAGCTGCAGAGCTGGAACGAATAAAATATGATGTAGAAATGTTGACTAAGAGATGTGAAAGAAGATTGGAAGATGAGGATGTGGAAGATTGACAATAATCTGAAGGGACCTGAGTGGTGACAGAGTCCTAAGGGCAACTGACACTTCCTGGCTAGCCACATAGTGAAAGCCTAGCTCTTCTTCAGGTATTTGAAAGGAAGGGCTAGTGCGTGACCATAGAACCGAAGGAAAATCTGCTTCAGGCCAATCGCACACAACCTTCTTAGAAGTTTGATACATTAATTGGTTTTTTGTGAATTTTACCATGAACTCAGGTTGCCGGCACCCGTATACCGCGGGGTTGAGCGGAGTACGCTACTTTTAGGGTCGACGTCTTCTAACCTCTGCCATCAAAGAAGACAGTATCAGTGTGACACTGCCGGCAAATAAGATACTGCCACCGAAACCTGTCCATCCAAAATTAGGACTTCTCTCTCGGGCCCCCAACATAGAATAGCAGTTTACACCATAACGACAATTGATTTTGTCTTACCACTATGCAATTTACTTTCTGGTATGACAGGACCTCAAGGGAGCAAGCGTTCCCCCAACGTAGCTCATTGTTTTAATGCATGTCCAACCACCATCACCACTATCATGTCAAGGTAGCAACTAGTAGGTCGGGAAATAATATGAGATCAAAGAGACAAAGTATGAAACATCGAGGTAACTTTACTGCCATGCAGTAGTGAATAACATAAATGGTAATAAAACGAAAAATAAAAACACGACAACATGGAATTCACCTGTTGGGTTCGCAAAATCAGCTGTCTGTCTTACAGACGGTGGTGGTTCATTTACAGGTCCAACAAAGTCTAAAGCACCCAATTTCCATTCACCTGCAGTAGTTACAAACACGCTATCTAAACATACACCATTATGTGCCAATTTCCCATCATCATTTAAAAAAACTAACGCTTTAGCAATCTACAAACCAACAAGAAAAAAGTAAAGATATATGAAAGGTGATTAGATACACTTTCGATCAATCAATATCAACATAGGAACAGGCATTACTGCGTAACCCTCCAAGTTGCCGCCACACCTCATATCACTACATCAAGTGAAAAGGTAGTGAGGTGAAAGATGAAGATAAGAGAATACAGTCAAAAGAAATATAAAGTACGAGAAGAAAGAAAAGAGGAATAACAAAATGCTGAGATTCATTGTAGCATCGTTAAGATGAGGATAATGTGTGTGGATATACATCTGCACCACTCACATCGGTTCTCAGCCATATCACCTACAGTCTCCAACCACTGGTTCCTCTTGTCCCCCCACCCCTCCCCCACCGACCCCAACCACCTAGTCTACATCGCCCCACCCCACATGCTTCAAAACAAACACTCTAACACTTCATACATTCATGTCATGTTTTAGTCTGGCCAACTCAGGCCTTTGTCCAGACTGGACCTACTTCGGCCAACATTGTGTGACCAGGCAATCGGGGACTACACATACGTAGCACGTGTCACAACCATCTCAACCGATGAAGCTTCATAATCACGTTTCACGTGGTGACACCACGGAATACGGCCTAGCCTATACTACGAAGGCGATGGTGGTCAAACACTTGAAGCCAGCCTTCTCATGTCTTCCGCCTTCAATGACCATGTTTCACAGCCATACAGTAGAAGAGAGTGAACTGCTGTGCAGCACACGTGACCCTTAGTAGACAAACGGATGTCACGGTGGCGCCATAGGTGGTGTAAATTGGCAAAAGCCAATCGAGCCTTTTGTATCCATGCAGAGACTTCATACACTTTCAATTGATAATTAAAATGATAAGGTCACGCAAAAAAAAGAAAATAACCTTACCAAGGCAACTGTTTACTGCTAATGTTAGAGTTTAGTAATGAGAGAATAAACTACTACTTACAAATCGATTGTGATAACATTTTCATGGAAATTACGAAAGATAAGCTGGAACCGACTTTCTAGTCTGTTGGTCGCTGAGACGATAGGAATTAGTGGTTGTGGACTCTGGGTGGCATGGTGCAGATAAATTCACTTTTTGACATCTTGGATGTTTTAAAAAACCTTCATTTTTAAATTCCTTCTCCTATCATACACCACTTGTTCCTTGTATGCTACTGTAGAGTGTGGCAACTTGAACCGATATACTTGTGTGTGAAACAGATAGACAAACAAACGGAAAATCAACTTGGAACGTCGTACACAAGTGCATCGATTAAAGTTTCCACAACTCACAGTAGTACACAAAAAACAGATGGATGGAAAGAGACTGATATCAAAGTAGATAAAAGTCGTGTAAGAGAACAAGCAATCTGAAGATAAAGGTCACTCCGAATATTCAAGCTTTAGAAGACGTCAATGAGTGAATACATCTGCGCCTCTGCGGCTGATGTTCAGCCACGTCACCAAGAGTTCTCAATCACTTATCCTTGTCGTCTCAGGAACCTTAATCAGGGGGATAGTCTATATTTCCCAACACGGCTCAGACTAAAAGTCACCCTGAACTCTCGCAAGCTTAATCCAACTTCGCTTAGTAAGGTGTGTTGATTCTATCCATCTGTAATCACCACTAAAGTGTTTGCAATTCTGAGTAAACGAGTTCAAAGTAGATCACAGTGGCATGAATGTATTTACTCCCTAATAAAATAAAGTGCTTTGGAGGTTAATAAGGATTTATTGATCTCAAGATAGCATTCATTACCAACTGACATTAGTTGGAGAACCACTGATAACCTGGGAGCATTGGCAGCTGTTTTATCCTAGTATGAGAGTCGCTATTAGTGCGCACCCCATGACCGTGCCAGAAACCAAACGCAGCACCTTTAGGTTACTTGGTGAGCATGTTAACATTCAGTCACTGTATGAGAATCCAATGGACTAAATTTTTCTACTTCTATCAGTTTGCGATATATCGCGACCATCATTTAATACCATCGGAGATTATTTGTTCTACCTTTCAATTTTAACAATGTTGATATCTCTGGGCAGGTTCATTCAATGCCTTAAAGAGTGGATACTAGCTTTGAAGCCTGTCTTGCTAAGCCAGGATCGGAAAAGCAAGACAGGCGTTCATTAACCTGAAACCAGTGTCATCTTCTGCACTCAGCGTAAAGGGTGAACAAGATCTGGATTTTCAACACCAATCCAGTCAAGTCAGTGCTTCTGTATGGCTCAGAGACTTGGTGGGTTACGAAAAGCATTTCCAACGAACTACAGATATTCATCGACAACTGCCTACGTTGGCTCGTTACTGGAGCTCAGATGGCCAGAATAATAAGAATAAGCAACAACGAACTCTGGCTGGCTGGCTGGCAACGAACCAACCAACAACCTATAGCTCAGCAAATATGCAGAAGGAAGTGGAGATGGATCGGGCATACACTGAGAAGGCCGACTGGGGACATCACGCACCAGGCCAGACCGTCGAGTGGAACCCAGATGGGAAGCGGCGAGTTGGGCGTCTGAGGTGAGGGTGACATGGAGGAGATCATGTGAGGAAGAATGTGAGCTTCTGGGCTGTCGTGGAACCAGGTTCAAAAGTTTGCAGAGAACAGAGTGGAATTTAGACGTGCTACTGAAGCCCTATGTTCCATTAGGAACCCAAGGGACAAATATTAATAATAATAGTACTAGCTATGAACTTCGAAGAATAGTAGAACCGGTTAGTACTATTTGCACATTGTCCAACTAGACTGGATTCACTAAATGGAAATCATCCGTGTAAATATTATTGGTTACATCAACTTCATTTGTTCATTAGGCTGAATTTAAAATGAAGCCTAGAATGGTGCTTGAATAATCACCTACAGAAAACAATGTCTACGGAGTATTACAACAGTCATAACAGTAATAGACTGAGCTACATATAATGGGTGATGCTTGAGGGCGAAGAAAAAATTTGGACCGCGGCATGATTCCAAACCAGCGACCACGGGGTTTCAGGCCCAGTGCTCTACCAACTGAAATACGAGACCTAACTGCTGACCAATATCACAACTTAATAGCCTGACTGATAACGTTCGGAAGTCTGAAGTGATGAGCACTGTGCTCAACTCCCATTATTATTATTTTCCCTTGGCTTCCTAGTGGAACATAGAGTTTCAGTAGCACGTCTCCACTCCACTCTGTTCCCTGCAATCTTTTCAACCTGGCTCCACGACAGCCCAGAAGCTCTCATTTCTTCCTCACACCATCTCCTCCATGTCACCCTCGGACGCTCAACTCGTCGTTTCCCATACGGGTTCCAATCGACGGCTGGCCCGGCTCATGATGTCCCCAGTCGGCCTTCTCAGTGTATGCCCAATCCATCTCCACTTCCCTCCGCATATTTATTGAGCGATAGGTTCTTGGTTGGCTCGCTGCTAGCCAGAGTTTCTTGTTGCTTATCCTTTCTGCCATCTGAGCTTCAATATCGAGTGGGTGTAGGAGGCAGCTGTTGATGAATATCTGTAGTTTGTTGGAAGTGCTTTACGTGACGCACCAACTCTCTGAATGAACCATATAGCAGTACTGACTTACTTGACTGGATTGCTGTTGAAAATCTGATCTTGTTCTTTGTGCTGAGTGCGGCAGATCTCAGATTTCAGATGAGTGAAAGCCTGTTTTGTTTTTCCGATCCTGGTTTTGATATCCTCGTCTGTGCCTATGCCACCTGTAGTTGAAACGATGCTGTCTAGGTAGGTGAAAGATACTACTTGCTTTATGTTTCTCCGTTAATGGTGATTGGCGCTTGTTGTTGTTGTTGGTTGGGTATCTTCATCACCTCGTCTTCTCTAGATTCACTTGAAATCCCGTCTTCCCTGGCTGCCCTGCCTCTTCTGTCAACTTGTTAGTTTTCGCCTGTAGATCTTCGAGTTTGTGCGACAAGACATCAGACATAAATCATCATTGGGAAATCCAAATCTTCTAGGCTCTTTTCATCGGTCCAGCCAGCGTGTGCCCATCTTCTCCTCCTCACAGTTGGCTGTTGCATGATCCAGTCCAGTCCACAATCAGGAAGATCATGGGTGATAGTAGGCAGCTTGTCTTACTCAACTCCCAATGGAAGCATTATTCAAAATGAAATGAAACATATCAAATAAAATTCTAAAAGGAAACAGTCTTTTTTCCATTGCTAGTTACCGAAACACTATCATAAGGCCCATCCTCGAAATCTTAATGCATTCAATAACCTTGTGGAGATTTGTCTCGTCGGCGCAATGAGGGCTATTGATACTAAGTGGCTACCCGAACCTCGCTCGGTGGATCTGGGTTTAAACGTATGATCCACGGATTGACAGTCAACTAACTAGACCAGTTAGCCACAGGTCTACACAAGGCTTATTCTACTTCATACATAACTTCAAATTAGGTATAGAAAAACAGTGATAAATTGGCTGAGATATTCAGCTTCTAAACAATGGATTATGATATGGTATGCTGTCCCTATTTATCAAGGTTTGCACAGCTAAGTGGAATTATTAACCATACACACTCCCTCACGCTGTCCACTCCACAGTAGATATGGTACATAAATAACTGTATGGATTATCCATGTGTGATTACTAAACTGCATTTTGCGCGCAGAGAAATTTATTGAAACGCAAACAAATAACCCTAAACTTGGGGTCAGTCTCTTACATATTTATACGACAATACAAAATAACTTAATTGATCAATTATCCGATAGCATTTGTCAGTTATATATAGGTATACTAAAAAAAAAGTAGTCCTCGAACTCACTTGCAGAATATTCATTAACCTGAGGATAACAGGGAATAAATGCTAAGAGTACTACTGATCACTAAAACCACAAAGAATATAGGCTACATTTCTATCCTACTTGGTGGAACATAGGCTAGGGAAAAATACCGTGAATGTACGATGGAGATAGGGCTTGCTGACAGGTGCCAGGAAGTAATAAACCTAGGTTAAAGTCTTCTGTTGATTGCCTTCAACTTATGTACCTATTCCAGTCCTACAGGAGGTCGGTCTCCACCTGAGTAGATCAATAGTAAAGTCGCTAACTGTAACACTGGGTGACGTGGGTTTGAATCTCAGAAGAAACATCCGTCCTCTTGAGGTTGGAGACAATAATAATTGCTTTATTCTGATAGATATTTTAGGAATACTGTACAGAATTTTCAGCATGTCATACAGCATCAAGTGGACAGAAACTGTGTATATGTATACATTTAAAAATAAGAATAAGTAGAAATTAAGGATAGGAATATTTACTCCATCTACACCTTTCTTGAAGATCACAGTTAACTTAGATAAACAGTTACATTAACAATGAGATTCATATTATTTGAATAACAGTAAGCTGTATAATCTTTAATTAGCTGGCTTTACAAAGAACAAAACTTGATTAGTTAGTTCACCTCTAAACTTTCTTCTTCGGATAGGAGACGAGCTAAATATGGTATTGTAGAGTTCCTATATCTAGTAATAAGTGCATAGAGTCTCATATACTTGCTCTTGGTCTTACCTAGCGACCAACACGTAGAGAACTTTGAGTGAAGAGGATGTTGGTCATCTAACAAAATAACTCCTGCCAGATAATTATTCACAACAGTTTCAATTAGAAGCTTTAGAGGGGTAATACCAGTAGTTCCGCTGACAAGCTTCAAAGTTCCACGCAATACAACATAGTCTTTCTTCAACAACCCAGGAAAGAATAAAGGGGGACAATAGAGGAGAGTAGGCAACATACAGGAGTTTATAAAACACATGAGAAGAGGTTGAATTACGCCATATAATCTCAGCTTTCTAATTTGGTAAGTTAGATGAAGGATTCTTCTAATCACGAACTAAGATACTTTTAACGTTGTCACTTGTATCATCTCGTTGTTGATCGGTCTTTATTGGGACATGACACCCAGTTGACAAGTACCGGATAGAACGAAACGCACGTCTCGGATTCCACTGCTATCCACTATCCATCATTAGTATAAGATACTTTCGTTTGCTGATCAGCAACTTTAAATCAGCATTTGGCATAAGTGATATCGATGTTAGTTACTGTTCGAGAGTCATAAATCCTCAGATCAAATATTCAGATACACACGATAGGCAACCAGATATCGATTAAAACCTATTCAGTGTGAAATGCACATCAACCATGAGAACTGACAAGAATTTGTTCCCATCGCCAAAGCGTTATCCACTAAGTCACTGGGGTACGAGAGGCACTACTAGTGAAACGGGTATCAGGTGTTATCGTTGTCGATTGATACTTGTAATTTCCTGTTGTTATATTGAGTCGAATTACTCGACCCCTGTCGGCAGATGAGCTCCCACGAGGATGCCTCGATACTGCCCGGATATTCGTCATTTTGTAGTCTCAGCCGAAACAGTATCATTTACTGGGGTGCAGAAATATCCAGGTGACTATCTAGGTGACAAACGGGCATCATGGATTCTACCGATAACCACCAAGATCAATACAACATCATGAATATCCGGCAGTATCAAGGCATCTTAATAGGGGCCCGTTTGCTTATTTTAAAAGTGATTTTACTTATGACCCAATTGGTAACAGTATTGTATAGCTCGGTTTAATAGTTTTCGATTGCCCCCTTACACGCTACTGTATGACCTATACTTTGGAAATAATTGCATGTTGGTGAATCAGATCACTTGAGATGAATACGGACAGTGAGCATCAAACCTTGTGTACTGTTGCATGCGGTTAGGACAACAGAATTACGTGACTTATTATGTGAGTGAAGTGAATGTACGAGACTGAGTAAGCATATACGAAACTAATCACGTTCACGATCAGTGTTAAGATTGAATTAGCGAATCAAGTCAGACAATAATAACTAGACAGTGTTATAAAATCAAGTAACAATGAGATAATCTAGTTGAGGGTGAAAACACTTTGACGACTGATTCGGTTGGATTTCTAGCGTCACAGTTACATGAAACATATATCTATGGGCTGTAAGCCTAGAACAAACCATAAGGAGTACAATCCTAACGATGAAGTAAATTCTCTGTTGAAGGTAGTTGTTGATGCGTTAATGAGGATGCTGATGGGTATAAAATATATAAAATAACGCACTCAGCTATCTTGTTCACACTCGTGCAGTAGGTAATGAGCCACACCTAATGTGTGAAGGATAACAATACTACCTGGTTGGCCAAACTTCGCTAGGTGGAGAGGCGCTAGAACCCGTGATTCAATGGTTGACAGTCATCTCCTTAAACCAGTGAGCTACAGCTCCACTGATGAGTATAATAAACAAAAAGCATACCAATTTTCAAAAGTAATAAAAAGGTCAAGTATGACTTTGATATTGGCTGGTGGTAAGGTGCTCTTAGGTTAACGGAAGTGTTAACCAGTATACGGGAATTAAATACGATCCCCTCTGACTGGTCTAAATCACTGATTATCCCAGTCTTCAAGAAAGGCGATAACCACAGAGGAATCAGTCTGACGAACATAGTGTCGAAGATCCTAGGTTCTATAATTCTCCGACGCCTGAGTGGAGCTCGGGAACAGCAAGCCCCAGAAAACCAGACAGGATGTAGACCCGGTCGCGGGTGTATCGACCAAATACTTACACTGGGCCAGGTCCTGGAACACAGACACGCTTACCAACGCCTGACACCGGCTGTATTTCTCGACCTGAAGGCGGCATTCGACTCCGTTGATCGAGAAGTCTAATGACAATGTCTCTCACTGAAAGGCGTGCCGAGTAAGTACATCATCTCATTGAAGGCTCTCTAGTCGACCACTTGTGGGCGTGTTAGAGCCTATGGTGAGATGTCCAGAAAGCTATGCTCATCGAGTGGTGTCCATCAAGGGTGCCCACTCTCTCCATTCTTATTCGATTTCATCATACATATTCTTATGGAGGTCTCCCTTTCGTCACCTAATTACACAGACGTTGACCTAATCACATGAGAATTTTCGTTAGACCTAGAATATGCAGATGACATTGTCCTGTTAAGTGAAGACGCTGACAAGATGCACAACCTTCTGGACACTTTGAGTGTCAATTTGAGAATGTTTGAGATGCGATTCTCACCACCTAAGTGCAAATTGCTAATCCAGGATTGGTCTTCAGCGGTGCCATGGCTAACAATAGAGAGTGAAGTGGTTGAGTGTGTTGACCACTTCACTTACCTGGGAAGTAGAATCAGCCCTGATGGTTCGGTGGCTGGTGAAATCTCTGCACGGATACAAAAGGCTCGATTGGCTTTTGCCAATTTACACCACCTATGGCGCCACCGTGATATCTGTTTGTCTATTAAGGGTCACGTGTGCTGCACAGCAGTTCACTTTGTTCTACTGTATGGCTGTGAAACATGGCCATTGAAGGCGGAAGACATGAGAAGGCTAGCTTCAAGTGTTTGACCATCATTGCCTTCGCAGTATAGGCTATGCCGTATTCCGTGGTGTCACCACGTGAGTAATGCAGAAGTCGGGAGTAGAGTTTTAGAGAGAAGAGGTAAATCAGTAGACGAGGTTATGAAACTTCATCGATTGAGATGGTTGTGACACGTACTATGTATGCGTAGTCCCCGATTGCCTGGTCACACAATATTGGCCGAAGTAGGTCCAGTCTGGACAAGGGCCTGAGTTGGCCAGACTAAAACATGACATGAATGTATGAAGTGTTAGAGTGTTTGTTTTGAGGCATGTGGGGTGGGGCGATGTAGACTAGGTGGTTAGGGTCGGTGGGGGGAGGGGTGGGGGGATAAGAGGAACCAGTGGTTGGAGACCCTAGGTGATATGGCTGAGAACCGATGTGAATGGTGCAGATGTATATCCACACACATTATCCTCATCTTAACGACGCTACAATGAATCTCACCATTTTGTTATTCCTCTTTTCTTTCTTCTCGTGCTTTATATTTTTTTTGACTGCATTCTCTTACCTTCATCTTTCACCTCACTACCTTTTCACTTGATGTAGTGATATGAGGTGTGGCGGCAACTCGGAGGGTTACGCAGTAATGCCTGGTCCTATGTTGATATTGATGATGATGATATTGACTGCGTCTGAAGCATCGATTTATGTTGTATTAAGAAGTCATTATTAGGTGAAAGAAATGCCACATGAGTCAACTTGGTACAGGTTTCTAAACTAGACCTATCGAGCTACACTTATTAGGTGAGGGCTTGTGTGACCACCACTTAGTTGCCTTGGTTGAATTAGAAGGAGTGTGGGTTGAACCAAGAGACCTGCTGCTTAAAAGTTCCGAACTTAAACCAATGAAACGTCTACACACTGGTGTACAACAATCTCCAAATGAAATTTAACCTGACTACAGAAATGAAAACTTGTTATATAATACGTAAACGAACTGATAACCAAAGCGGTTCTAAGTGATAAACAGATAAATTTGTAGTTTATAGTTGTGGCGATAAATAATAATCATTAATACAAACCTGATGTATACCCCATGATGATAGTAGGTTGAAATTTCCACAATCTGCCTTAAAGCGTAAGTATTCACGTAATGGTAATACACGTTCTGTAATATAACCAAATTCACTAGGTAATTTCCCTGAGGCAATTTCTGTACCACCTAACCATGTAAGCATATTTGGATGACGTAATGTTTTCATCCATTTAACTGTACGTTGAAAAAGAGATGAAATAGCTCCAGTTTCATTTGATACATTGTTTGAATTGAGATTACACATAAAAATGGTAACCTCCTCTTTGGTTTTCTTCTTTTGACCTGGAAGTAGTCGCCATGTCATATTGTATGGACCATGGATTGATCCTAAAGGTTCTGAATTAGGCGGATCAATGCAAAATCCTGGGACGGGATCATGAGTGAAACTTAAGCCTAGTGATGTAGCTGAGCCTAGTAAACCATCTGAATCCTTGTTAGTAAATAACCACATCACTCTTTGTCCAATTGTCTTTATCTAGAGCTTTCTAAAAATTGTGAGAAAAAAAAACTGACAGTTTAAAGAAATAAAAATTTAAGAAATAAGTAACATGGCAATATTAAGTGCTATACGTATATGGACCTGTCTGAAAAAAAAACAGACGGGTCAGTCGGAGAATCATTGAAAACGTGGAAACAACTGGTGAGCTGTTTCAACAATCCACTAAGGTCTTGAGTTGGTATCCATTTTACTTCCGACTGGATGACCATATAGGTCGCGGTTTCTCATTAGAACTATGGGATATCCAACTCGAGGTAAGTCTTTAATGAACACCTTAAAAAACTCAGAAATCTTAAACTACATAGAGGTCAGTGTAATATTGCTGGGAATAAAGTTGATATGCTTCTAAACTTCATAATAATAAAAAAGGTAAGAAGAGGAATAAAGTGATAAAATGAATTTGAGGAAGGACATGAAACAATGAAGAATTATATAATCAAATTTTAAAGATCCCATGTAGACTTACTGGTCGGGGACCATGTGATAACACAAACTAATGACTGGAGACTCTGAGTGACATAGCTGAAAATCAATATCAGTGGGACTGATGTGTCCACATATTATCCTTATCTTAATCATCAAACTGAACTTCAGTATTTCTCCATGAACTGTTTTAATAACTTTTTATCACTTTTCATTGCTTTCCTCTTTATTTGTGTATCTTTTATATCAGTGCATTCTTACTTAATTGATATGCTATTGTGGTAATTTGAACAACTACGCGGAAATACCAGATCCTATTTAGATTTTGTTCTACCTATCTGTCTTTAAGATACCAAAAACAAGAGTGCACTTGTTCTCATGCGGTCGATTCCCAGTTATATCACCTAAGATGGTTTTCACCCACATATTTTATTTTCCTTATTTCATGTAATTCGGCCAATTATCCAACAGTTCCATATACAACCTGAATGAACTGTCGTAAAAGGTAAAAAAATAAAATGATATATTGATGAAGGTGGTTACTTTAGAAAATCTATCACAGATATCTTATTGGCTTATATCTCAACACGTTCACGAACTTTGTATGGATTAACTAAACTCCATCCTTAGAATTAACACTGCTTATTGAGTCGCTCTATTAAAGGTGACCAACACTTTAGAACCGAGGGTTCATCGACCAGATGTTTACCCTCTAATAGGTTCTGGAACTCAGGTATACTGGCGGCTGACACTCACTACATTTTTTGGCTTGAAAGTGGAATTCAATTTTTTTTGACCATGAGGAATACCACAAACCTTTATCAATCTCATTCAACAACTATATGAAAACGCCACATGCCAAGTACTTCACAATGGGAAGCTCAGTGATGCCTATGAAGTGAAGACAGGAGTAAGACAAGGCTGTCTACTATCAGCCATCATATTCCTGATTAACCTGAAACCAGTGTGGAGATCTTCTGCAATCAGCATGCGCAACAAGATACGGATTTTCAACACCAACGTCAAGTCAGTGCTCCTATATGGTTCAGAAACTTGGGGCCTTACGAAAGGCATTTCCAACAAACTACAAACATTCATCAACAACTGCCTACGCTGGCTCACTCGTTACTGAAGCTCGGATGGCCACAAGGAATAAGTGACAAGGAACTCTGGCCTGGTGACGAACCAACGAAACAAGAAGCTGTGGCTCAACAAATATGTAGTGGAAGGAAGTGGAGATGGATTGGGCATGCACTGAGAAGACCATTCGGCGACATCATGCGCCAGACCAGGCCGCTGAGTGGAACCCAGATGGGAAATAGCTAGTTGGGCGTCCGAGGTAAGGGTGACATGGAGGAGATCGTGCGAGGAAGAAATGAGAGCTTCTGGGCTGTCGTGGAGCCAGGTTGAAAAGATTACAGAGAACAGAGTGGAGTGGAGACATGCTACTGAAGCCGTATGTTCCACTAGGAACCCAAGGGACAAATAATAATAATAATAATAATAATAATAATAATAATAGTGTTGTGGCAGCATCTAACCGTAAAAGGAGTACCGAGCAAGTATGTAAAGCTGATCAAAGCTCTCTACTTCAAATCATGCAGCTGTGTAAGGACTTTTGGAGTTATCATCTGAATTGGTGACAACTAGTGTCGGATAGAGATGTCTGCCGTCACTGTTCCTATTCAATAGCGTTATAGATGTGTTAACGGTACATCTGGCTTCACAGGGATTGATCTACTTCCTGGAGGTATGTAGATAATATTGTCCTGCTAGATGAAGACGTTGACAGAATACAAGGTCTTCCGAAAGCGTTGAGAAGAAATCTGAGTATGTTTAGCATGTGTTTTGCACCTGTCAAATTCGAAATGATGCTTCACGACTGGTCTGTTTATTATTATGATTTATTATTTGTCCCTTGGGTTCCTAATGGAACATAGGGCTTCAGTAGCACGTCTCCATTCCACTCTGTTCTCTGGAATCTTTTTAACCTGGCTCCACGACTGCCCAGAAGCTCTCATTTATTTCTCACACGATCTCCTCCATGTCACCCTTGCCTTGGACGCCCAACTCACCGTTTCCCATCTGGGTTTCACTCGAGTGCCTGGAGCGCGATATCGCCAGTCCATCTTCTCAGTTTATGCCCAATCCAATTCATCTACACTTTCTTTTTCTGCATGTTTGTTGAGCGACTGGTTTGTAGCGACTCCAAATTTAAGGATAAGGAGTAAAGTGGTGGGATGTGTCGACCACTTCCCTCACTTGGGGAGTCGCATCAGCCCACATGAAGTGATTGCTGACGAAATCTAAACTGGGGTACAGAAAGCCTATTTAGCATTTGCCAACTTGCGTCATCTGTGGCGCTGACTAGCGAGATATTCGACTATCTACCAAAGGACGAGTATAATGTACTACAGTCCATTCTCTTCTGTCATAAGGCTGCGAAACAGACATCGAAAGTAGAAGATATGAACAGGTTTCAGGTTTTTGCTGATAGGCGTCTTCGTGCCATGGAATCACCGTGTGAGTAATGTTGAGGTTAGACGAAAGGTTCTGGGAAAGGGAGACAAATCAGTCAGTGAACCTTAGTCGAGTGAGGTGAATTGGACACGTTTCGCATGCATGTGAATGAAGTCTCTGACTGTTGGTCTAGACTGTGTAGGGAGGTGTAGGCTACCTGGTTGGGGTAGGATAAGAGTCAGTAATTGATGACTCTTGGTGACATGACTGAAAATTAGTCACAGTGGTGCAGATGTATGCACCCTTTGATGTCCTCCCCCACCACACACTTTTGTCTATTTCAATATCGGTCTTTCCTATCCACTTATTCTTTGCATACTACTATGAAGTGCGGCAGGTTGAACCGATAAATATGTGTGCCAGATTCTTTGCTGACCTTATCGGTCTGTCCGTGTCCTCCAGCATTAACTCATAGTTAGACTAGTTGAGAGCATCATACCTCACAACAATAAGGAAAGGAGGAATGAACAAAGATAGGACCGTACTAAGAAATCAAGACATGAGAGATGAGGAATAAATAAGGAGGAAAAAATATTAGAGATTATTATGATAGATCTGTACCTATCTGATTACATTTGAGGCAAATCACGAAAAATCTCTAACTATTGATTCTGAAAAAAACACGAGGACCCTGACCAAACACTAAATGGATCAGTCACTGATTTAGCGGATTGAGGTCGACTTGGTCGTACTCCATGTAACATGATAGATATGTCGGCTGTATATTCAATTTTTGTACACATGTAGATGAAGTGATGTCATGATATTTTTGTAAAGCTGAACATACACCAGACAATGGTGACATGACTTAAATGGGCTTTAAGATTAAAACTATGAAGTTTTTTAGTGTTGTTTAATATTGAGAAAACATATCTTTACAAGAATTATTTGATGAATTGATTAAAAGTAGCCAGTTTTGAATTGTTATTTAACTGTAAAGCAGAAGATATATCATAATCTTTGAAAGAATGAAATCAAGAATAACCAACACTACGGATAGCATAAATACTTAACCCAAGAACGAAGCTCTGCTCCAAGAAATATTCCTAGGAAGAAAATTTTACTGGTCTTAAACACATATCTCCTTTTAGACTGACTTTTGACTGGCTTTAATTGCTAATTAGTCTATTCTTTCAACAACAAAAAATCCTTATCATCAAACGCCTAAGTGAAGCTTAAAGAAAGTAAATGCGAAATACTAAGAAGACTTTAGACCTAGTTGTGGGTATATCGACCATATATACACCCTCTATTAGGTTTTAGAACACAGGCACACTTACCAGCACCCAACACTAGCTGTATTCCTCAACCTGAAGGTGGTATTCAACTCTGTCGACCATGAGGTATTATGACGGTGTCGCTCACTGAGTCGGGTGACAGTTAAGTAAATTACACCATAGGGCACTCTGCATTCAAAAGTCTCTGGATGTGTTAGAACCTATGATGAAGTATCAAGTGAGTATTGTACTTCGAGTGGTGTCCATTAAGGATGTCCACTCTTTGCATTCTTATTCGACTTTATCACACACTCAATCATGGAGGTCCTCCTCTTTTCGTCTAACTTTAAAGTGGTTTGACCTCATCACATGAAACTCCTTAGTGGACCTCGAGTACGTAGATGATACAGTCCTATGAGGTGAAGACGCACTCTACTGAGCTCTTTGAGTGGGGTAAAGAAACTTTGTGCTCTTTCCAGCTAGTGTAAAAATCACCTTGAGTTAATTCCATGAACTTCAAGGGAGAAATTTTTGAGAAATTAATATAGGCATAATTTCGCCCCTTCTTATGCTAGGGAACCTGGTTTTTTAAACATCTTTATTTTAATAGTGACTATTTTTAGCATTTCAGATCTTAAATATGTAAGGAACTTGTGGATGATAAAAAACTGGGCCAACTTCATGTGTATTATCAAATGTTACAGCACAGTCGAGTCTCAAGGTAACAACATAATGTAACGCATACCAGTCAAAGTGCGACTACAAACTTGGAATCTCGGACGTATTTCATTA